ATTTGCATTTGTTCGTGTGTATGGGATGGAACAGTTATATGATCTGTGAAGTTCAGATCGTCTAGTTGCATCCAACCTATCCATTTTATTCTGTGCTTCCCTTTGATGTCGAGGTCTTCATAATACAATCAACAACCAGAAGAAAGAGAAAGGGTGACCATACACGGTCTTGTCTGGCGCCGGTCTTCACTTGGAATGCGTCTGTCAGCTGTCCTCCATGCACGACTTTACACTGTAGTCCGTCGTATGATGTTGACGATCTTCTCAGGTACACAGTATTGTAGAGTAAGGTTCGGCTCTCAACGCTGTCAACTGCCTTCTCATAATCAAGGAAGTTGATGTATAGTGACGAGTTCCATTCAATTAATTGTTCAACGATGATCTGTGGTGTCACGATTTGTTCTGTGCACGACCGATCCTCACGGAATCCGGTTTGTTGATCTCGAAACTGGAAGTCTCCTGAATCTTTTATCCGGTTTAGCAACACTGTTGAAAACGTTTGGTGGTACTGATAGTAGTGTGATGCCACTGTATTTCTCACACTTGCTCAGATCTCCTTTCTTTGGTATCTTGGAACGATCTGCTTTTTACCAGTTTGTCAGTGGCACTTGTTCTCCCTTCCAAATCTTTCTGAAAAAGACGTGCAGCATATTTGCAGTTAATTCTATGTGTGATTTCAGTGCTTCAGGTAGTATATTATCAAGTCCTACCGCTTCTCTACTGTTGGTTTACCTGATGGTTATGCTGATTTGTTCTGTAGTTGGTTGAGTGACATCCATAGGAATATCTGTGCGTGCTGTTCGATATCCAGTGGATTCAATGGAGTTGGTTTATTCAAGAGTTCCTCAAAGTGTTCCACTCATCTGTTTCTCTGTCCCTGCCTTCGTTGTCCTTGACCAGTCTCTCTGGTTTGCTTTATTTTCCTACCAGTTTCTTCGTTGTGTTATATAGTTGTTTCATATTCCTTTCTCTTGGGGCGTTTTCTGCTATCGTTGCTAGCTCTTCCACGTATTTCTGCTTGTCAAATCTTATATTCTTCTTCACTTGTTTGTTTGCTTCGGTGTATTCAGTTTGTTCCTTGACTTTCACTGCTCTTGTTCGACTGTTGTTGATCCCTGTCTTCTTTTTTTCGATGTTGTGTAGGATTTCGATAAAGATTCATTCATTATGACAATGCTTCTTGCGGTCCAGAACATCCTGAAACGTTGAAGTTGATGCTTTTTCGATCCCTTTCCAATTGTCTTCCATAGTAGTTTTCCTTCTCTCAGTAGATCCTGTAAAGCTTGGAACCTTTTGTTGAAAGTTATCTTGAATTCGTTGAGTTTATTAGTACTAGGAAGGAAGTTTCTATTGAACCTTTCTAATGCTGTTTCCCCAGTTTTCCAGTGCTTCGTTAACTTCAGTTTCATCTTGCTAACCACCAGCTACTGGTGATCTAAAATTATGTTAGCTACTCTCCTGGTTCTCACGTCCTCCATTGACGTTTTTAATATTTTATTGATGCGAATATGATCTGTATGATTCTGTGAACCAGTCAGACCCACATGGCTTTGTGTGTGAGTTTGTGTGAAAATATTGTGTTGCCTACAACCATTTAGTTGGATGCATATAAACTTGCAAATCTGTTTCCTTTTTCGTTCCTTTCTCTCAGTCCTCCGTTCATGTCGTCCCATGACATAATCATACCCGGTGTTGTTCATTCCGACTTTGTCTTTTAGGTCTCTCCTGAGAACTTCGCTATGATCGACCGCAGCCTCTCATAAAACTGATCTTTATCGTCGTCACTGCTATCATAATTTTTCTTATTGAAGATTTTTCAACATTTCGTAGCAACGTACAGAGACAAAAATCTTACGAGATTATATGCTAAAGAGTAATAACCATGATATCGAAGGTCACATGAATTTGCACATCTGGAACTTACTTTGCTATAGAACGTAAAAGACCAAACAATGAAATGTATTAAAACATTTAAGGATAGGTTAAGTAGGAAATTATTAAGATCCGAATCACTTGTAGTTTTGAAATCTATTTTCCGATTACTTGCATTAGCATATTTAAATAATTGATTACTTTGATAAATTTAGACAATACAATATAAACACACTATAATACAGTACTTGTCTGATAATCCTCATCATCATATGTCGTAATCCATAGTCCCATATCTTAGTTCACGGGTCAGAAAGTTTATAGGCGGATGTTATATATTGAACAAAGTATCTTTTGATATCCTCACAATCTTTTCACTGAAGCGAGTTGGAATAGTTGATAACTAGAACTGGTAATTACTGTGAATTAAGGTTTAATAAACCCAACCAGAGCCATTAACATTAGCAAAATTGTCGGTTATATCAGATGTAAGAGATTGTTTGTAGATGTCCGTTATTGCATATTTGTAGCCTCCTGGTATTTTTGTTTTCTGAGGCCGATTTACACGGCTATCAAACAACAAAGTGAAAAATCACCACACTGTATATATATAAATATCAGAAAAATCATGGCGACTAAGAAAACGTCAAATTAGCGTACACATTTAGTTATTATTTCATGTACTGTTCGAATAAACTGCGTACTCGACAACTTTCACTAGTCATAGCGAAATTAGACCAAACACCATGGTTATTTTTGGGGCACAATCCGCAGACATTAATGGTTACAATGTCAAACTATTTTGTTAGTTCCTTTTACTGAGTGACTTAATCAATTTTCTTGAAGAAAAAGTCCAATCAATAACTTCTTTTCAGTCTCTGCAACTATTTTCATTCCCTTTTTTTAGAAAGGTGCATATTAAAATAATTGGGGCTTGTTTGTTTGCAAGGAAATACTGTTAACTGGCGCATACACTTTGGAGTTGGTGTGAGTTTATGGATTGGTTCATCGTTAATACTCGCGTAGTTATTGTCAGGTGTAAGAATGTAGGATGAAAACCTGCGAAGATTGAATTGATTGCCCAACTAACTGTCATATCATACTCTTAGTGTACCCGTGTGTCAGTGACGGATGAGATTGAACTGGTGGTGAATTAGTGTCTGTAGTTAGTGCTGTTGCTAAAATAAAGCATAATATCAATCAATCGAGTTACAAGTTTTGGTGGGATTATACGTAGCATTCGCACTTTGATATGAGTCAGTCATTTTGTTGGTACGGACGGAGCTGACGACTGATCTTTAGATTTCTATGTCCACACCATTTTCAGCAGTATTCCGGGTGTTTTGGATACAATTTTATTCAGGCAGTTGTCAAGGTCCTATTTTTGTCATATTAACAGAGAGTTTATGAGCCTCTCACGAGAGTGCAGACTGGCGACAACATAGTCACAACAGAAAAGCCACAAGAATGCTTTCGTAGATGAATTTTCTATTAGATACGGCTTCGAAAGTCATCAAAACGCATAAAGCAAACTCTGGAATTTTAGTGATTACCAGAAATCTTTGATCTCATATACGAACTTACTCAGTACTCCTCCTTGTTTCACATTACCCTGACGATATACCCTTGATTTTTGCTACTGCCCTAAAGCCAACGGCTAATTATTCAGGATAATATGCATGCTTTAGAATTGCACACCGAATGAGCTTTAAAAGACCAGGTTATATAATTTTTCACCAAAATACCTTGCCTGCTCAACGAAGTAAGGATGAGCACTGGTGAACAATGTAATTTACTCTCAGAATGGATAGTAATGACGCTTCTCTTCATTTCTCTAGAAATATGCATATATGTTTATGTTAGTTTAAACAAAGACTACTTTAAGCGTCCTTCCACGATCACGGTAATGATTATGGCAGGTCTGCAGTTTGGTGGAAGTTATCTTGGCCCTGTTTTCTGTATGAGAGCGACGATTGTATGCTTTTAGTCCATCGGTAACACACCTTGGTCAAGTGGCATATTGAATATTACAGTCGATGGGGCTGCAACGTATTGTGCAATATGTTTCAGGATTTTGGGGTTTAGTTCATTCGGTCTTGTTGACATTTTTATGTCTAAGATGGTAAGAATCTTGAGTACATCGTCCTGATCAAAGTTCATGGTGAGCAGGCGGTTTGTTGACTTTGTACTTTGGTATAGTTATTCCTTTAGAAGAGTCTCTTGGGTGAAAACTGGCCCAAAACAGTTAGCTATAGCCTCTGCTTTTTCCTGATCTTCATTTATCATTTCAGATTCACTCCCTTCTTTAATTAGGTTGAGAATCCAATGCTGCATCCTGTTCTGTAATTTGTGTACGAGAATAGTCTCTTAGGCTGTTTGAGTGCAGGTTGTGCCAAATGCATTTCATATTTTCTCTGAGCTTCCCGGATTTTCATTATACACCTCTTTCTTACCGACCTGTAACGTTCAGTCGTACTTGCTGTGCCAAGGCTGATAGAAACATTCAAATGTATCCTCTTTCGTCTTGGTAAACGTCCAATATCATGGCCTATTCAGAGATGGCCGTGCTCCTTCGTCATCTTTGGGACCGTTTAAGAAATACAAGGTCGAGTTACCCGATTGTATAACTGTCTGAAATGAGTCCATGCCTCCTGCACTGATACCCTTGAGTCGATTTCCCAGTTTTACGCCGATGTTGCAGAGTTGATTGCCTCCATGTTTGCCCTCCATATTTCAGGACGGGTCGGCGCAGTTGTTTGATAGATCATCTCAGCCATGAACTTGAATAAGATTACTGCATGATTGCTTCTCCCTAGAGGTGCTAGGAAAATCATTTGGCCAGCATCACTACCGTGTGTCAAGACTAAGTCGCAAAGAAACGAGGAACTTCGTAAGCCATATCTGATAGGATCCCTAATATGCTATAATAAAGCTAGTGCAGTTGAGGTTTCTAACAGTTTTCAATCGAATGACGTTATCGATGACCCTACTTCCAAGTTTACCCAAAGTTCCTACATGGCGATACCGAAGATCTACTTACACCAGATATGGAGGCACGTTAGGCGGAAGCCTCTTCCATTCTATCTGTAATTATTTAAACCATCTGAAATTAAAATCTTCAACGAAAAGGAAAGCGGAAATTTTGCACTTTGAGGTCGTTTCAAGGTTATGTTCTGGTATGGCTGAAGGAAAGCTAAAAATCGGTTCCCGCGTTGAGGTGACAGGAAAGGATGTTGTTGGTACCATAGCATATATTGGAACAACACAATTTTCCCCTGGTAGATTCCCAACCCTTTTTTATTTTGAATTCAGGGAAATGGGTAGGGGTGATACTAGAGGAGGCGAAAGGGAAAAACAATGGTACGGTCCAAGGGAAACGCTACTTTACTTGTGAAGAGAATCACGGGATTTTTGTGCGCCCATCTCAGGTTCGTCTCTAATATCTCGGGAGACTTACACTTATGCTGCCCAACTTTGATTTAGTCCTTTAGTTCCCGAACGTCTTAGCAGCCATTTCATAGGATATAGCTAGTAAGGCAATCGATCAATAAGTTCGTTCTTTCACATATGTTTAGCCCTATTATACCGTCCGCAAAGTCGTCACTGCGTAACGTATTCCACACAGTCGATTATACTACTGTCAACATCACTACTTATCGATGACCTTTAGGCGTGAATAATTAAAATTTTAAGCACCTCTAGGTATCAATGTAAGTTTTATAGGGACGAATAGTTATGTTGTGTAGTCCAAGAGAGGGCAGATATTACTGGGTAAATCTGTGAGTCGGCATCGAGTAAAATAACTCGTGTTCTTCCGTATTCCTTAACATTTCATGCCTTATTGATGTCCATTTGTTTTTATTTATTATTTCGTAGTTTCAATATATTCATTTTCTTTATTTCTGGAATATTTGACTTCCTAAGTTCAAACTAATGTTATCGATTTGTTTGCTTGACTAACTGACTAGATTTTTTCGAAGGGGATCACACATATCGATGAAATTCTTTATTAGCTATCAAAAAATCATTTAGTTTTCGTTGGAATTACTTCACTTATGATGCTCTAAATATTTTTTTACACATAAATGCTAGGTTTAATGCTTTTATTACGTGTCGCGACACCTAATGTGTGCCTCATAGAAGTCGTATCATTACATAACATGGATTTGGGAATTCACATGCTGTTCATTTCGATCCACCTATCATACCTTCATTCACTTGCAGATCTATTTAAAATGTCTTAATTTGGTCATTAGAAGATAGTGACGCTAGTTTATTAACTTTATCATAACCCGTTGTGATAAAAGTTTTCCATTTTGTTATCCCCTCTCAGTTTGTTATTGTTTAGTTTTTTTTTCGCTGATACAACATTTTATGTGTTAGTTATTAATAAGGAGTGCTTTACGTCGTTGTGTTTATGAGCTTGATATCTTAGTAGACTTTTATCGACTGAGGTTTACCATAGGATTCAGCAGACTTTCTGGAAAATCAGAAATGCATTCCACAAGTACCATGTTAGTGATGACGTCCCTTGATACTTGTATGATTCTTGTCTATTAGGCTAGCTGTTAGTCATCTTTCGTCACATCTGATCATATTTGTTGACAATTATTTTCATAGACAATAATGTCGAGAGGTTTTGAAAAGCACTGACAAGTTAATAAGAACACTAACATCAGGTGGACACATCCGGGAAAATGCACCGTCCTGTTTTTTTCATATTAAAGAATATATCTCATTGGTTTCGCATGTTTGTAATATTAGTTGTAGGACCTTCGTCAAGTAGATCCAGTAAAACCTTATGCTCCAGAGTTTTCGCTTCCAGTCCTGTCTACCACAGATATTTATTAACAACGAACTGTAAAGGTAGACAAAAGTGAAATACGATACTTGACTTCATCACTAAATTATTTATTTTAATTACAACTTCAGACTAATTTGCAAATACTTCCTAATTAAATTTTCCTTACGAAGTTTCATAGTAAGTACTTCTGCCTATTTCCTATTTTAAAACAGTAATATATGGTTCATTTTCAAATGACAATCTGAATCACTAATTTTCTCACTTTCTTCATCCTTTAGCTTACTCTTCTGGATGACCAGGATGGATCAAGCACAATGGATTTATCTATTTCAAGCGTTCTTTCAGAATCAGGCACAACCTCAGAATCTAGTACATCTAGGTTGTCATTAGGTGAAACTCCTAAACGTACGGGTTCTTCAACTTCTTTATCCAGCAGTTTAAAACCTGAAATGGCAAAAGGTATTACATTTTGCAGTCCATTTTTTAAAATATTCTTTCAGGACTGGTTTCTCCGACTCTAATGCTATTGATAAATACTCTGGTTCGCTCTTTTATAAGTTGATATGTGATCGGTATAAATATCTCATTACTCGTTACTAGTTTGATTCTGTCGTAGTTGCCAATCAAATGTCTAGTGACACAATTGTTAAATTATCTCACATTGTAGTGCTCTGTCCTACGATTGGTCTGTGTACCGGGCTCTAAATTACACAACATATTATTGAACCTGGTGCTTAATAACTAAAAGTGGAGCCCTTTAATTACTAAGAGACCGCTCCTCTTGCGATTGTTTCACAAACTGCAATCGTCTTTCAGATATCTTAGTCAGTCACAACGTGGAACGTGGCATGTATGTACATCAGTCCAAGTTGACACACTCCATTATTACATAATAATGAAATTTTCAACCCGAATTTCAGGATAGTAGAGTTAGTAACAGTATGAGTGATACAATTTAAGAAAACATAAGTTAGTGAAGTGAAAATACAAAGAAAAATAGTTATGATGGATTCAGAAGGTTGGAATTCGGGGGGAAAAAGAATGGATGCACCTACACTATTGCAAACGATTTTGATCCATATCATTCAAAGTCTCTAACCATTGGTTCCGATAATTATGCGGACGCCAACCAGGTAGTTTACATCTATTAACATGGCTTAGTCTACTTGTCAGTAACTTCATGAGCTGATGCTGTGTTTTGATTTGGCCGCCGCTAGCTTTCTTCAGCAAGTATCTATCTTCAATGTTAACCTGGTCATCTCCCGTCAGTCGTGATTTTCTATTTACTCCGTGAAATGATAAAGTTTCACGTAGGCAGCTATCAGATCTCAGTTCTGTGGTCGAGAAGTAAAATAGTCTCTTTGTCACACGAAAACTCTGAGTTCGATGTCAATATAGGTAAGCAGTGTGGAGTTCTGCTGGATTTTATCATTGTAACAAAACGGTTGTTGACCAGTCTCTCATTTTGAGTAGTTCTTCATGTCTGAGTTGATTCAGACTTTTTTAAAATATTATTTCAATATTCTACAAAGTTTTTTCTTTCCTTTTTTAACCCATCTACCACGAAATTCTAATATCATGCATCCACAGGACGAACTTTAAAATCACCAGCTCTCAAGCGCTCTTCTCTAGCTAGTTCAACACCATCAGTGAAGGATAAGCCTAATCTACCTGTCTCAACGGGGAGACGTACGTTCTGTTTTCGTTGAGTGCATGTTGAAAAAACGCGCATATTCATTAGCTCTAATCTTACATTATCTAACACCCATAATATGCCTATAATTAACTCCTTAATCCTGATGACTAATATTTAAATGTGTGTCCTGTCATAATCCTTCTATCTACACTACTATCCATTTATATTTTATAGGTCCACCTGAAATCAGAAAAGCATCACAAGTAAGTATTTGTTTATTGTTATTCAGTTTGTTTATCATGTCTTTTATTTAAGAATTAAAGGGTTTGACCAAGTCCTCGGTTCTAATCCCTCTTACCTAATTTGGCTTGGGCAGCTGGTTTGTGCGATTAGCTCTCATACTTAGATTGCAACTCATACCCACTCAACCTATTACTTGAATACAATATAACTTAGTAGTTCATTTTTGTAGACACATTTGTAAATCTTTGTTTAAAGTATAATTTTTTAAATTCAAACAAAGTATTCATATTATGATACATGAAGGTGCTTAGTTTCTACATTAGTTGCTGGGAAACGAATGACGATTATTGCTATTAATTACATCTCAATCAGACCAAATAGTTGAACAGAATATAGGATCTGATCATGGTGTATATCTATTCAATTTGCGACACTAGCAGGAAAATAAATGAAAATTGACCAAAAGGGAAAGTCATTGATTAAAAATAATAACGATGCTAATACATTGATGAATAAATACGAGAGAGGAAAAGACAGTAGAAACTAATGAAATTAAAGAATGTAATACATATATAAATACTTCGTCTTATGCTAACATCTAATTAAGGGATTGAGTTATTTGCTTTCTTCTCGCTTATTTTAAAACTTTTTTTTTGGAAGAATAACCACATCATTCATTTTCTTAAACCTCGGTAGATGAGGTCAACCTAGGCTTTTAGAACTTGCGCGAACTATTAGGCTATGCCTCCATATACTTTATTTTATTTTATACACATAAAATACGGTACCAATCGGCACCAAAGACATATACTCTGCACAAATCAATGGTTAAGTTGCAGAGGAATGGTGAGCTTTGGAAATCCTATCTTATCTTACTGGGGGGCCGGAACAATGAAGAGAGGTGGTCGTATTCCTTTGCTTCTCATGAAGTGTTTCCATATAAAACCTTAAAGATGTTGCTAAAATCCTCAGACTCACTATTAAAAAAACTCAGACTACAGTTCTGTCCAACGAATCAGAAGCAGCCATAATATCTATAAAAATAACGTTTATTTGTCCTGCAGTCATTTTGGCGATGTTTTAGCATTTGACGTAACATGAAGATATAGTAAATTTATCCATGGTCAGAGTTAAATACGACTTACTCTTCACATGACAGTTTTTTACAGACATTCATATAAAGCATTACTACATCGTAACAAAAATTAGCTGTCAAAAGGGGTGTGGTTTTATTTCATATTTCAATAATGTCACATGTTACCAATACAGCCCAATAGTATTTGAAGAATTAATTATATCCATTACATATACTTCTACTACTCTATTCATGGTCATTATCGTACACAGTCATTATATTTTCCTGTTCACTGTATATTAATCACAATCAATTAAATGAATTAGTTTGTTTACACATGCTCACATACGACTTTTCTTATGGATTACTTTTCACTCTTACTGAGTTCATGTGCTTTGTTCTTTATTTTATTAACGTAATCTTTATGTCTTGTTTTCTCACTAGCCTGCATTAAAGAGACCTAGTATGGTAAGATTGATTTTTTCTTCCTTAAACAAAAACAACAACAGTACACTCAAAAGCTAATTGATGCGCTAATGTAAATCTACTATATTTAACCTAAAAATCTTAAGGTTTTAAATTGTTTTATTTTTCAGTTTGGTAAATTGTAGCTGGTTTAACTTACTTACTTGCTTACTTACGCCTGTTACTACTCTTAGCTGTTTTAACGGATCAATATAAATGAAATCCTTTTTCCAAAATGTTAACAAGGAAATTCTTGATAGACACTTTTTTCTTACTATATAATTACTTCATTATCTTACATATTAGGCAATTTTTGCCAAGGTATAAAACCTTTTACCTTTGGAGTTCAAAAAAAATACCGGTGTTTATTCGTTGAATTTACTGATTCTCAAAAACTTGTTCATTATGGTATAATACTTTTCTAACTGTTCCAATCATTGAGAAGATTTTTGTTATTAACTGTTTGAGTAAATTAACTTATAATTTAGGGTACTAATTGATACGATAAACAGAAGTCAATTTTATTGATTCATTTTCAGAGAGAGAGAGCGATTAGTCCTGATATTTAAATCTTAATTTCATTGACACTTAAGTGGTCTATTCAGGTCTGTATCTTTCAGTGGTCTCTGTTTCAATCGACTTCTAATTCTGCTTATATATTTATTTTTAAAAAAAATAATAATGCGATTTTACTAAAGTAGACGTTTGTTGTTCTGGTTAGGGATCATATATTCAATATTGGATCACTTAGGTGTTGGGAGAGTAGTTGTTTCAATAACCCCAATCTCTTGATACAGCCCATCAATCATCCATAATGTATGATTGTATTTGATCTATCGACTAGTATTCTGTTCGTTTATTTTAACAGTTATTGCGTTTTAAAATAACATTCAAATAATTGTTCTTTTGATAAGCTTGATTTTATTTTTTAATAACCTATCGTTGTATTTACTGTCTTATTTATAAATGTAAGTCATGGATATTTACTGTGGAGAACTAACTATCTCGAATAAGACTTATGTTCATCACTGTATACCTTCCTGTGATTTTTCTTTCGCAATATTGATAAGTCTTGTGAATTGAACGCTATATTCGTCTCCTAAGCTATTCTGTAAACCCCAAGCTAGAACTATATAGCGACCTGAACACGAGAGAAGACGCAATGTATGCGAGAAGTAGTTTACTCCAAAGTTCATTTCAATACAGCAAATACAGGGTTTTTATAATATTTTCAATGTCCTTGGGTTATTAGAAGATTCTGGAGTGCTACTAAACATAATAGCAGTGTAGCAATCAGCCAATCAAAACCTCTGCATGTGTCGTTTCACTTCCTTGATGTTTTTGGCTAAAACTTCGAGTGAACGCTGATTGGATGAAACGCTTCCTAGTGTTTCCTAATGCTTGCTTGTCTTTTGCAAACAATTTTCTGGATCACTCCAACACATGCTATGTATTGAATGAAAATTACCTTAAAATTTCTCGCAAAACCTTTTCAAATCTTAATTTATAATATAAGTCAATACTATTAATCAGTATTTCAGTAGTTTGTTTCATTCTTATATGGTTCAGGGGTTATTTCCTAAGGATTAGTAACTCGTTTATTACAAATCTTCATTTTCATTAACTTAAGACAAATATTATTTGTTTCTATTCAATACTACTTATTAATCACATAATTAGTGTCTCACTGAACAGCATTATATGCTGTTCGAAGAATATACCTCTAGACAATGGTCGATTTGTTCCAAATTAAGTGTTAATTACTGTTGGATGTTTAATCCATTACATTTTATTAGGTAAATATCTAATTAATAATCATTTTGTATTTTCTAATTCTGCTCGCTTTTTTTAAGTTTATAAGTCATACATTTATAACATGTTAATTATTTCTACTTAGTTGTATGTATGTATTTTTGTTCGATAACTGTATTTCTAGAATGTTTGGTATACCATAACATATCTATACGATCGTCTAATCTTGTTTTACTAATCTATTTTTTACGTCTCCCATTCTCTTCATTGGTCAAGAACATTAATATTCACTACTATTTTTGTTTGCTTTATTTTTTCAAGATCTCATCAACTGGATCCAATCCCGATCTGGTACAAAGTAATGTAGCACCAATTTCGAAAAGTGAAAGTCCTCTCAACAAATCCACTGAAAGTAAACCTGTTAAAGAATCCATTCAACCTAGTGGTGATACATTGCCGAAAACCATTTCATCAACTATAAAAACAAGTGATCCAAAACTACCGACTACTACTGATGGTAGCAAAATACCTGAAGTTTCAACCATTGCAGGAGCTAGTGATATTAAAATAATTTCACAAAAACTAGAGCTTGAAAATATATCTATTAAGCATAAAGACAGTTCTCATAAAATACCAAGGTCGTCTGTTGTACCAGGTGTTGTTAGTCCATCTGCTATTGTATCAAGCGACGGTGGTGGTACTCACTCGCCAGACACAGAATTGGAGCTAACTAATCTACGTGCCGAAATAACAACACTACATGATCAAATTGAAGCCTTAAAAATGAAACGAGAAGAAGATAAAACCAGAATACAAGAATTAGAACGTATCAAGATTCAATTTACTCAACTCGAGGAAAATCGACGTTTAATGAGAGAACAAGCAGCTGAATTACAACGTGAAATTGCACAATTAAAAACAGTATGTTTTTCTTATTCTACCAATTGTAATGATTGTCTAGAATAGATTTAGTTTAGTATAAGGCTATCGGAAAGCGGTCATGTCTACATATAAAAATGCTTACCCTTCCTTCTCTTATTATAAAATGCTGTTGGTGTTAATTCATCAACTCGATCATTTGGGTTTCTAACTAACTCGTTTTTAGTTCGGCTATCAAATGTGAGCAGACGGCTCACTGAAGTTAAAGCATTTAACTTTCGATCTACAACTTTTAAAGTGGCACGTCGCTCCGTCTACTATTTCATCAATTCAATAATTTCCCCATCCCTCATATTTAAAATGAGGGACTCAAATTATCCTGACTTTTGATTGTGGTGCCGTACCTTAGTTGTTAAAATGTTTGGTTTTAAAACTGTCCTTCTGAGGTTCCGATTCTGGTTCACCCCCTTTGGTTTAGAGAGCCAGATAGTAGCACTAACCTTTACACTAACTGTGACGCTAAACAGAACATGTCAACCTATACTTGGTAAATATGTTTTGGAAAACCTTGTACTTAGTTTCTGGGCTGTATTAATTTGATTTATTGTGGGTATTAGATCGATGTCGTCAGGTTAATCACACAGTAGTAGTAATTGGAGCTTCCTAGAACACTGTATTAATAAGACACTGGTTATCAAATATCATGGATACCACTTAAACCTTATGTATGATCTCAGGGTGCCATTAAAAACCAGAGAGGACTAGAAAGCTTTTTCATCCTGGTATAGGACTTCTCAGTCGAGTAAACTCGGGATATATAGGTATTTTGTTCGGCTCGACCGTTGTTGCTACCTTGATGTGGTGGTTGGGCTTGCGTATCGTGATGAACTAATCGAGCTATACCGGCTGGAACAATCGTTCTTCAAGGTCCTACCATGCCAGACAGGTCGGTTGAAGAACGGTATGACTAAAAGCAACAAACCTAAGGTCCAAAGGCGAAGTCTTACTGCTGACTGTACAGAGGTGTGACAGCAGTAAGGTATTTCCTTCAGACAAGCAGCATGACAGCGATACTGTCTTCCCATAACGAAGAGTGGGGTTGGAAAAGGTCGACCATAGAAGTGCACACCTCGCCTTATTCCACGGATATCCGTCTCCGGCGGTAAGGTCTCAACAAATACGGAGCTAACACAAGACTTACCCACAAAAAGATTGTGTATGATCGACCTCAATCAGTTGTCCCTTGGTCACTGCGCTCACGCTCTTAGGTCACTAAGACCAACTCTAACCCGATTTCCTTTCCAGGTACCTCCAAAAGAACCCTTCCACAGTGTGGGCAACCGGGAAGTGATAACTGCTCTCATACCTCTAACAGCACTCAATCACTGACTGATTTGGTTCGAGCACTTAACCACTGAGTCGGTTCGATGACACAATTCCTATTGCAGTCGATTTGCAATCCGGCCTAATGAAACGGTTGTCAAATGTGTACTCAATGGTTTTCATGATTATTCTAATTCAAATCAATCTATAACAAATACAATTTACAAATTAAATTGGTACTCACAAAACCCTTTTAACTAGTGATAATTTTGTAGGTATCATTAGCAAGGTTTGACTTGATAATTTCGAATAAATTGAGTATTGGCTAGATTGTTATAAATAAATCAATATATTTGTAATATCCCAATGATAATTTTCTTTATTTATAAAAAAAACAAAATAAAGGAAAAAGCTGAAATTAAAGAAGCATTTGATCGTTATCGTGATGAAGTAGCTGAAATGGTTGAAAGTGTGGAAATGGCTACATTAGATAAAGAAATGGCAGAAGAAAAATTAGAATCATTAACTACAGAAATTGAATTATTAAAAGAACAAGTAGAAGAATTGACACTTGAAAATCAAATTTTAAAAGAAGAATCTGAAGAGAAAGGTTAGTTTGTTCATATATATTACTTATAATTAGTATTTTATGAAGATGGCTGGAGTTGTTTTGAGTTACCTTAAAAATGTTACTTATAATTTTAATTAAGAAAGATGAGTTCAGTGAAGAGTTCCCTTTTCGGCGAATTCATTTTCAAGGCTGTACAATCGCAAATACATATACTTATATTAACAGGATGATAATAATACTGATAATAAACTTTTGTTAGACATGGTGACAGTGAGGTTGAATAAACATAGTTATTAAAAAATTCTTTTAAAAACAAGGAAAGTTTAATACTCGTTTGATTGTTAATGGCTTAAGTATTCATCAAAGGATAGATAGGGAAATTATCATTGGGAAAGGATAGCTCAGCATGATAAGATAAATATTAAAATTGAGATTAAATGTAATGAGAATGATCGTGGAAACAAAACGAACCAGTTCGAGGTAGAAAATTTAAGGGGAAGATGGAGGGTGGAGCATATGGTTGTGAAAGAAGAAGAGTATGAATAAAGAGGAAAATAAAAAATAAAAATTATAAGGCATCAGGACCAGGGTAGAAGAAGAGGTTGTACCAGTCGCTTTTACACACACAATTCTGGTCTTTCCAGATGTATGGCTAATGCTTCGGCAATGCAATCTAATTGTTTTTGGGAGACTTCTACCTACCTTGTAGATGACTTTGAACGCAGAATCTGTCTTGATTGAGTGACCTGTATTCACAAGGTGTTCGATTACTGAGCTTCTCATTGAACCTCTTCCTCCTCTTTTTAGCCATGCCGGACAATGTTCTTGAATTCTTTTGGATAAAGTACGCATCGAACGACCTATATACCTAGCTCCACATGAGCAAGTAAATGGATAAACGCACATTGAGTTGGTCAGGTGCGATAATTTATCTTTAAGATTATTGGTGAACAGTGATATCGGCTGGAGAATACTAATCGCAATGTTGTTGCGAGGAATGTTCTTTTTAAAGAATCGAAAATTCTCCTTTTTAGGGTGTGTGGCTCTGTCACCCTTGAATTCGATGTTCGTGTATAAAGTTTTCTTTTCTACCGTAGTTATCTGTGTTTTCAGCGTTTTCGGCTTTATGTTCTTGTCAATTAATATCGAAGGATATCCGTTCTTAATAAGTATGCCCTTCAAGTGGCCCAGCTCTTCATTTATGACTTCGTGACTACAGATTCGTCGTATTCTTGTTGCGAGTGTTATTATTAGGTTTCTTTTTCGACTATTGGGGACCCAGCTGTGGAAACTTGATAATTGGCCATTCCACTTATAATTTTGTTAAATAATCAGAAAACTGACACTTCGGAATTGTTGTAGTTTTTTATCATTAAATTTCACCGATATTCACGATTTTATCTTCTGTCAGTTGGGTACACAACAGTCTGTGAAGTCATTGACTACTCAACTAGTCCATATTAGTAGATTTAGACTAACCTGGTTGGACCTCATGCAGGTATCAACATCAGTGGTTAGAGACGTTGAGTCCTATGATATAAATTCGATTTCTGTGATGCACATATATTCAATTTTTATCTTTCCTTAGATTGAATTTTAAAAGTATTCTATACCATTTTATGCTGAAAGTTCATTCATCCTTCGTGAATTATATTCTCTATCTCTAATGCTTCATTGTTACCATACACTATTACTATTATCGAAATCGACAAATTCAAATCAGAGCGCGAAGTTTGACTGAATCAGTTTGTATGACGGTAGTAAGGTCTTTCCCTTAGGCAACCAGCATGTGCAAGGATTCTACTTTCGCACACCAAAAGATGGGACTAGCAAATGTTAGATTTAAATATAGCATGCCTCGCCTTGGCAGAAGAATTTCTGGTAAGGCTTTAAAAGTACGGACCTGACACATCTGAAGCTACTTACGAAAAGGCCTTAGGTACTGGTTTCAAGCAGCTGTCTTTCGGGCTGTGCAATCATGCTTCCAGGTCTGTAAAACTATTAATGATCGAGTCTTTTTCAAGTACTCCGACATCGAGTATCGTTTCACAGTGTGGCAATCTGGGAAGTAACAACCTTTCAATCACTTCAAACGGCACTCGAGATTATCGTGCTGTTATATCCAGATGACATTAGTAGAGGATCGGCTCCATATCATAAGTTAACATAGTTTAGAAATGGTTTTGATTATGACCCGGTTCAACAGCCTAATGTCTTCGTATTTGCGTCGAAGGTTTTTGTTTATAAAAGAAATGCGGGACCAGGAGCAAATGTCTAGTCAGGCAAAATTGCCATATCGCATCATCACAGTAAAAAATTGTCAATGTGAATTCCAAAGCAATTTAGTATCAATGATAACAATCAAACACTAAGTATAGGGAATATAATTCACGAAGCATGAATGAATTCTCAGAATTAAACTGTATAAAATACTTTTGAAACTAATAGTCTAATTAAAGATAAGGACTAAATATATCTGCATCATGGCAATCAATTGTGCCACAATGTTTCCAGTCGTTAATCACAACAATCGCACGGACCTTAACTACTCGAATTTCTGGTATTATACTTTGTGGTTATGCTGTCAGTACACATTGTATAGAACGAAAAATCTGCCAATACCCCTGTCGTTTTAAGTGGTTTTTAAGCTTATGTTCATTGATGTAAAAAGCCGTCTCCAAACTTAATGAATTAACACACACACACATCAATTTCCGTATAAAATAACTATCTAGTCTAAAATTAATCATTTACTACTCTGTATAAAATTTTGCATGTTTTCGCACTATTTTGTCACATCAATTGATCACCTCTACCCTTTGTTATAACCCTTTGTCTTTATCTCCAACTGTCAAATCAATCGTTACGCAACTTTTGCAGTCCCTAATACGCACAAGTCTCCAGTTAATTATTAATATCGACTATTTAGGTTGGGACTTTTTAAAAGTATGTTCAAATCGCTTTTAATATTCAGTTCAACATATTTCCTTAATTAGTGATATAACTTTCAACGAGTTTTGGATTTGTACATTTAATCATGTGGAGACGTTTGCTAATCTCAATGAATAAAGTGATATTATACCACTTATCTGCAAGGTACTCATATATATTTTCATAATTTCGATAAACTTGATTCTTTTTTTAAACATCGACAGGAGGAGCAGCCACTTTACCTGGTGCAGATGGTGGACCAACTCCATTACAATTGAAAAATCTTGAACAACAAAATGAACGAATGAAACAAGCACTTGTTAAACTAAGAGATTTAACTAATCAAGATAAACAAGAAATAACTGCTTTAACTAAACAAGTAAGTTAACTTTTTGTGTGAATTAAATTCTACCATACAATATCTCATGGTGAATTAGTTAACTGTAAAACCTATGGTTCATTTAATTCAATCATTTCAAATAAAATCTCACATTATATGGTTACGTGTTTTATTTTCGAAATCCACTCTACATACTCCATTTGCAAACAGTGGATAGCTTTGTGTCCAGTGCTCTCTGGTTTCATTCATTGACTCATGTGAAAGTGCGTGACTTAAACATCATAGCCCGATTCAAAAAAACCTTTCTTAAACCAATTAATACTTAGTTAAATCACTTTTCCTAAATTAAATAACTGTCATTACATTAAAATATTTTGTAAATTCTTTTGAATAAGTGACTTCTTTCAATATAGCTGGTATGAGATCAGCAGTAGTATCCAAGATATGAGTTTCATACCGATTTGGAACTCATCAGCTTGATGTTACTTCATCCCCTCCCCCTTAGTTTTGATGTTCACACTAGGACTTGAACAAGAAATTACAAACTCTTACTAATAAATTACTTCATATATCTTAAAGTTTTTTGTTTCTCTTCCTTATTGTGATAGATTACATCTTTGGAATCTGAAATTAATCAACTTCAAACAGAGAAAGAACGTCTAACTAACGATTTAAAAGAAAGTATTGAACAAACTATTGAATTGAAAGAACAAGTAGACGCTTCACTTGGTGCTGATACAATGGTTAGTCAATTGACACAACGTAATCTAGAATTGGAAGAAATGCTTGAAAAAGTTAAAGAGGAAAGAAATGATTTGGTAAGTATATGTGTATCTATACATGACTTTAGTTTAATTTTAATTTTCGTCATTGAGTTGGCTTTCATTAGTTTTCTCATTGATATACAACACAAATAAATAACGTTTAATTTACCCACAAATATGATATTTTATACTCTAAACTATTGTCTGTTTCGAACTAACAGTTGCAGTGTGTAGTCGTTTACATCTTCTACCTGAATTACGTCCATGCAGAATTTATGCAAGCTCATTTCTAAAGTAACCGTTGATTATCGACCAGCGTTCCTAGACAGAGAGTGAAGTGAAGTTCGTAAGAAAATTGTGTGCCAAATAACATTACTTACACCTAGAGTGACTCCGATATTGACCACGTAGGTTATAACTTTTGGGCAGGTAGATAAATGAGTTGATTTTATCTCAGTTACATTTTCATTATCACGAATAGTGTTAGTACATTGTGTAGTTCGATTGGGTATGTCTCGTTTGCTTACTACATCAGGTTATATGTGTACAAACAACAAATATATTCATATTATTGGGTGATTTTATGCAGTTATCTATGTTGTCTTACGTAAAAATCATAACATAAAATTTTTCATAGATAGAATTTGGGACGGTGGCTTAATGTTTATTACATTCGGTTTTTATCAAAATGAAAAAATTCAAAGCTTCGGTTCTGAAATACTTCATCCATTTCAGTAGACAAAAGTATATACATAAGCTCAAACTACAAATAATCTCTGCATATACCTATAAACCTATTCAACATTATTGATTAGAACTCTATCGAAAATTGTGTTACAACTTAATTATATCTCTTTTCTCCAGTTTAGGAGTTCACACAACCGATCTATTTAGATTGCAGTTGTTAATTGAATAACACTTTAATACTTAATTGTTACACATAAAATACGTTGTAAAACCTTATTCTCTCATCCATGTGTTAAGATACACATCTTAGCTGGTTACCATTGCAACAGTAAACATTTTAAATCCAAAATAAGTAAAATAGCCTTATTTCATAGCATTGAGAATTGTTTGTTTTAAGAGGGCTAATGCCATTAAGATGTTGCCTCATTCTCATCAAATTACAGAAACTGATTGTTAGTGAGACATTTAGTAAAAGAAATCCATTGGTGATTTATCTTAAATGACTAGTTTCATTGTATAGTTTCATCATCAATTGGTTTTTTAATTGTTCCAACTACGTACTTTTTGTATCACCTGAGATATTCATCTATTTTGGTGGAGTTTTGTTCTGTAAGCTGGATGGTTTGGTTGTGGAGCTTTCATCGTTCTTCTGAACGACATTATTATTATTTACTTATTTATTTGTTTGAACACATAGATATTAGTACAAGGGGGCACCAGATACATATGCTCCACACAAATCTCATTTGATTTCTGTGAGGGCTGTAATACTGCCCGGGTGCCCAAACCGAAGCAGGTAGTTTTCTTAGGGGGCCACACCCCGAGCCTCCGACCTGAAGGTCTGATCCACAAGGCAGTGGAGCATCGTAAGGAGATGCAGTCCCATGGAAGCCCGGTGACCAACGATTGGTTCATACGCCATTTGTTTCCGCAGGATCCTGGAGACCATATGCACCATTGATTTGGTTTGGGGGGCAACGAATGACTTCAGCAGCAACACAAACTTCAAGTAGAAGTGAAGTGTTCGAACTTCTCTACATATGACTCACAGCTTGCCCTGTAGACCTCGGTTTTGATTGGTTATTGTTAACTTTTAACCTGTCATTGTCTACTTTTTTATTTTGATTGTATCTCCGATTGATTTGATTGTTGGTCCTACATTTGTCCATAATTTTTCTAATTGGTTGATAAATTGGATCGATTTCAATGTGTTTGTTGATTGCTGACTGACCTGAGTGCCAAGCTTCTAAAAAATCCTCTGGCGTTGTTAGAATACCCTCTGTCTAAGATCTCAACATTTTCCCAGCCTAATGTGTGTCCACAGTTGTCCACATGCATTGACATAAGTGAGGATATATCATGGCGTTTGAACGCTAATCGACGTTCGTGCAGGCAAATATGAAGGAGGTGTCAATTTTGTTCGACGTAGTGTTTTTCACAGCTGGAACAATTTATTTTGTAGATGGTGTTCAGTTTTCTTCCTTTGTCATCTCATCCTTTGATTTGCATAGGACTGATTGAAAACATTATCATAAATCTGAAATGTTGTGAAAAGCAATATTTAGCGTTGTAGATATAACTTGTTACACTCCTTATTTTGTATTCCTCCTTTTTTCTAAAATAGGAAATACTATGTGAAATGAATGATGAATTACAAGAGAATAGTCGTGAAACTGAGCTTGAACTTCGTGAAGAAATTGAACGAGCCAATACACAAATAAATCAACTTGTACGTCATTTAGATGCTACACGTGAAACCATTGCAGATTATGAACAAACATTAGGTAAATTTAGAGATTTAGTCGCCGATTTACAAACTCAAAATTCTGATCTTCAACGATCACTAGCTGATGGAAAACGTTTACAGGAACAACAACAACAATTACATTCAACAGTTGCAACAGAATTTGCTAGTTCTGCAGTTCCATTTATGGGAACCAAGTTTGGTGCCACTTCTCAGGCACAAACTCTTGCTAAAGTAATTATTTGTTATTATCACCATAGTTCTTGTTAATACAATGTTATTATGTTAACATTCATTTTAGTTACTCACCGGCATCGACTGGGGAACTACACCGAACGAGTTACCACTGGTAGTTGTTTTTTTTGTATGAAACGTTTTGGCAGCGCGTACATGTGACTCTGCTAATAATCTCACTCAGGAATCTTTGGCCTCACTACAAGCTCGCAGTGGACCATTAGTAGAGCAATGGTTTAATCGTCAAAATCTTTGACTTTCAACCACTAGGTCATAGGTTTGTATCCTCTTCAACTACTTCGGTTTTGGTGGTCATATACCACTAGCTCTCAAACATAAACTGTGACTCACAGTTGAGTATATGGATCTGTACTTGGTAACCCACCTATTCGTCACTAGATTACTATGTGAAAATTCTGTTATATGCATCTTTATAAACGCTTTAGTCATGCATATATTGTCGTCAAATACTGTCGTTGATATCAAGCAACATAGATTCCACAAATCTCAAGTGCAACAAACTAGTATTGATTTCAATTGTAGAACAAGTTCAATTGAAGTCTATCTTTTCAGTTACCTTCACTATTGAGTTGTCTGTTCGTGATAAAACCCCTAAATCCTAACCTTAACCATCAGCCGTAAATCCTAATCCTAATTTCTCACACTGGTGTATAACCCTCATTCAACACTAGTAAGTAGGTGAACATTTTCAAGGGCATTTTAGTGTCGCTTAAAGACCTTCCATAAACTATAGTCTCACCTATTCATTTATTTTGAAAATCTGTATTGATGTTTCAATTGAAATATAATTTGCTGTCAGTTATATCATTTCGTTAATATCATTCCTGTTATTCACCAAAATCTTTCAACTTAACTAACTCTTCTTAATATTGATTACGTGCAATCCTACCATCGTAATTATTTTTATACTAAAATCACTATACTTCAGCAGTGTATTCATCAACTTCCTATTCACTCTTTTGTATTATTTTTTTCATCTTTATTGAAAAGGTGATTGAAGCTGAATTGAGACGTCTTGAAGCAGAACAAAGTGCAAATCATGTAACTCGTTTATCTGCTTTTCTTCCGGATTCATTTTTACGACGTGGTGGTGATAATGAAGCATTATTAGCGCTTCTCTTAATCGATCGTCTAACTGGAAAATGTGACCTATTAGCTAACCATGTGAGTAGTTAGTGTGTTATCCAAAAATAGTTCACTTTAATTTTGGTATACTTATTTTTACTCAAGCATTATTGATGTCCCTAGTAAAATGTCTGGTAAATATATCGTGTATTGGAGTTAGATCTGACCTCATGTTGAATGAGAGAGTAATTTATGATAGTTCAACTAATAAAGCAGAAAGATGGCCTATCAAAGAAGATATACGTAGTCCACATTAAGTTATTCATCCTGTTGAGCGACCGTTCTTTTTCACCATACTACTACTGTGGTGTGTGCTTCTTATATTGACATAAGTAGATGTTGTTAGTCGTGAACAGAATGTCTGGCAGCGGAGAGACAAGAGGATCGAACAGTAAATAATGGAAATGGAATGCGATTTGTATGAAAATGCAAGAACAATGAAGTCTGAGTCATTATGCTACAATTGATGGACATTTTGCAAACTACGTATTTACTATTTGATTGTTAAATTTTATTAACAAGTCCTATAATTTCGTGTCAAATACATTCGATTATCCCCACTGGTGTTCTTGTTTACTACACTACTATGCTACTTCGTTTACCATAAATTCAGCTGACAGTAGTCCAGTTTTAAACCATCGACACACCTTAGACTTGTTTTTTTTTAATTTCAGACTCGTCAGTCTGCATAAAAGCACAAAAAGAATTATATTCTATTGAAATGTTAATAAAATTTACTCACATAACTAATTTTATATAAGCATCGATATTGCTTTTTATATCAGTTTGGGGATTTGTGGAGATTGTAGTATTTTATCAGTTGAATTCACGAGTCAGTTTAAGCTAGACCACCATTGAAAATCTGGAGGCACTGGACGGCCTTTTCGTCCTTGTATGGGACTTTTCAGTAGTGCGCTCAGTGGTTTTGAGGTTAAGCGTTCACGCGCAAGACTGAAGGTCCTGCGTTCGAGTGCCACGTACGGGATCGTGGATGTGCACTGCTGAGGAATCCTATACCAGGATGAAAAGGCTGTCCAGTGCTTCCAGGTTTTCAATGGTTGTCTATCTTAGATCAACTCGTGAGTTCAACTGTTTTTATATCTTATTTTTTGAACGCAACTTTTAAATTCGGATCGTAATTCAACACACCATTCTGTGTATTAAATTCATTTATTTTATTACCTACCCAACTTTCGTATTGTTGTTTTCTTACTTTCATTCATTAAATCTACATAAATTCAGCTTGTTGAACGTTATCCTTTACCCCCGTGTGTACCTGGTCAAACATCACTGCAACTTCCTCAAACAGATAGCAATGCTGTAGATAGTCAAACGACTACTGTTGGTGGAATTTGTATTCCAGGCACTGATAATCCATTACCACCGTTAACTAAAAGTAAAGCCGAATTTTACAGTTTCATAACACGATTAATTCATTTGCTTCGATCAATGGGCTCTTTATTAAATCAGTACAAGCAGTAAGTATATTCATACATGCCATATAGCAGTATTTAAATCAAATTCCGATATTTTTACAATAAATCTGTTCAAATATACTTAGTTTTTGGTAAAATGACGACCACGGTACTACTTAGGGTTGAAATCCTTATTGTGATATACATGTATATGTGTATTTCTACTTTGATTTTAATTGAACTAGATTATCTACTAATGATTTCTGGCTTATTGATCAATTTGTTCTATAATTTAATGGATTGTAGTAATAAAAGCTCTATTTTAAATCTAGGGTATATCAGTCTTATTTCTGTCAAGATTCTCTTTATTTATGGGAGTACATTTATCTCATCTCTTGTTCTACTGTTTAAAACACCCATCAAAAGTCAGGCTCTCTTGTTGTTACACTTTTTATCGCCACTGTTTTGTTTCATTCTGCCATTTAATAACTACAAAAAGTCAGAAAGAGCTAAATCTGATAAGTGGACAGGTTAATTTACCATGGTAAGTTAATTGGAGATGAAAAACTTACGGACAATCAATGATAATTGTGTTAGTTCATTTCACGTATCTATTACACAGATCTTGTCCATATAAAGAAATTACAACTTGAATCGATTGGTAGGTAATTAGAGACAAGCTGCCAAAGTCGGGATTTCTCGAGATTGTGGGCGTTGAAGTACCGTATATATATATATATATATATATTGGTAGTGGCTGGAAGTATTCCATCAATGATTCTAACCATCACTAAGGTTTGTTACATAACGTCATAATGTACAACAATGTCACGTTTGTGACAGTAACCCATAAAAAACTCCTCGCTAAATTAGGTTAGGATTTATGAGAAATTTACATATTCAGTTCCGAAAGTACATTTTTATCTCACTCAAATTTAAAATCGTTCAGTGTAACGTCGCTAAACTATTACAATCAAAATTGAACCAACGTAAAGAATCAGTTAAATCCATAGCTTCTTTTGTATTCAGTTTGACTGATAGCTCAGTGATTACATCGGATTCATTACGTTAACTACTAGTACCAGTTTTTTACAGTCATATCATCTCTTCTAGTTTATGAAATGCATTTCAATTTACTTACCTAATTATACGAATGTTATAACTGTGACTGTTGATTAGACGGCAGTGAATTATCGATCGGATCAGTGAGGCGTAAAACACGTGAGAACAACCTAGAGTCCCGACTGGTCCTGCTTTACGCCTAGCCCAGCCAGTTAAGTCCAGAACGCAAGTCTCAGCCTCTGAAATATGAATCATTATATTTCAAGCACACTCTGTTTATATACTAGTCAAGCAGACCACAACTTACCATAAAATAGAAAATAACATTGTACAATATTTGGCAGTATAATGACACGTGAAATAAATATTGACCAGTGGGGAAACGACACGTGAAGTAAATATTGACCAATAGGAAAATGATACCATCAGCATTAGACTTAACAGAATAATTTTTCTGAATATCCCAACAACGAAGGGTGTAGTTTTTATTGACTGTGTTTTCAATGCCTGTACACCATAGTTCATGGTTTATAGATCTCTCTTTTCATTTCAGTGTTTCACGTTTAACTTGATTTTCGAAAAGATTCTATATGACTACTTAATATGCTCATATCTGTTTCATTCGTTTTTTCATATATTTATTTCAAACAGAATCTTTACAGGTTGCAGTGTTGATCTGTATTTGAAATTTGGTTCTTTATACAATGAAATGTGTGTTCATGAACACTGTATTGATCGATTAATAGAACAAACTAAAAATGATCAATTAGATGAGACAATATCATTAGAATCATTGATAACATCATTTAATTATTTCATTCAATTATATAATGTTCATTTGAAAAATGAACCATTATTTAATTGTAATATTAAATTGATGGATTTTACCCGAACAATTTTATCTGCAGTTGATGCTTTATCAGTTGATTCTATGGCTTTAATGATATTAACAGGAAAAGATGTTGATTGTTTATTAAAAATAGCCAAAACTGCTGTTTCAAATGTTTCTGGTCCATTAAGTATGGGTAGTATGGATGAAGTTGGTTCATTGTTATTGTTAAAATCTTCAAGTAGTAACGATAGTAATGAAGGATTAATTATTCTTCTTAATGAATTAGTACATTTTGCTACAACTGTACGTGTAATTATACGTCGAATAAAACGAAGAATTCCAAATAAACCTATTGGTCAACAACCATTATCATTTAATCAAGATGTTGCACAGAAATTAGATACAGTTATTCAATTATTTGATTCAATTGTTGGAACTATGTACACAACAACTCGTTTGGCAGGTCAATTAACAGTTCGTCAAGTGGTATGTTCTTTTTCTCTTGGTATAATATTAGTCTTTTGAGGAAAACTATGTAATACCTTGGTGACTTATGGCTACGTTAAAAATGATCTTGACGTTTTTTATGTGTTAGCTCTTAGCCAACGGTTAAACGAATCATTCGGTCAGTCTTAAATTATTCCATTTTCAATCATCATCAGATCCTAATTTCGAATGTACTTTGATTCACTTTGTTCCACAGCATCTGGGTGATAATAAGTTAAAGTTAAATTTGAAAGTGTTGGTCTGTACTCGTGCTTAATAAATTGTATTTTATTTTCAGAAGGGGTTTGTGGAGATTTTAGAAATTTTCACAGATTGAAATCATGAGTCAGTTGAAGCTAGACCACCATTGAGAACCTGGAAGCACTGGACGGCCGTTTCGTCCCAGTATAGGACTCCTCAGCGGTGCGCATCCACGATCCCGCACGCCGCGCGATTCGAACCCAGGACCTGCTGGCTTCGCGCGCGAGCACTTTACCATTAGACCACTGAGCTTGCATCCAACGGTGTTAATGTCTAACTTCAACCAATCCACGAAGTTGCTCCACCATATACCATTGTCTTCAGTGAGCTAATATCTCACAACAGACCTGGTTGTACTCCACTGGTAACGGCTTCCCACTAGAACTCCAGGAGTATCTCTTGAAGTCAGTCACTAGTGAGCAGATGATTATTATCAGAAGGGGTTTGTGGTCCTGGGTTCGAATCCCGCGGCGTGCGGGATCGTGGATGCGCACCGCTGAGGAGTCCCATACTGGGACGAAACGGCCGTCCAGTGCTTCTAGGTTTTCAATGGTGGTCTAGCTTCAACTGACTCATGATTTCAATCTGTGTATTTTATTTGTTTCTGATCTATTTGCACCGTTGTTATGTTCAACTTTATTCTTCTCATTTGTGCTTAGTTTATTTATAATCCACTGGCAGTGTTGAAGAAGCTAACACATTTGTTCACTTTCTTAGTTAAGAAGTTATCAAATGAATTCATGAAATCCGATAAGCCACAAAGGAGTAATTAAACTTGAAATTAGCCATTGCTCATTGGTCATTTAATTGTAAATATTTCAGTCTTACAAAATTCTAGTCGTGGCTCGGATAGCTAAATGGTATCGTCTCAGTTCGTAAAACAGTGTGAAGTAAGTTTGAATCCTTTAGTGGGTATCAGTTTCCCAAGGATTGCAGGTACACCTTGATAACAAGTGCTAAGTAGCACGAAAGTTAAACCTAATGTTTCCTGTCAACTACCTTCAACTAACTAGCAGTTTAAGGAGATCAGTTAAATATGATAATCAGCTGCAGTACAATAAAATACCTATTGTAACATTAATTTATCATTATTTCTTACACATTTCTCTTAATAGTGCTTTCATAACAACAGATATCCTTGTTTGTCTTCTAGTAACATTTTTCATGTGTAATATTTCACAGGAAGATTCATCCAATCTTGAACCAAATGTTGTATTTACTCAATGTTTAACAGAAGCTTGTAAAGAATACTTAACATCAATTGATCTTCGAACTAGTAGTACTTCACGTTCTAGTGTTATTTCACCAGAAATATTAGTTCGTACTAATCTAAGTCAAATTGCTCGTATTATTAGTCAAATAGCAATAGCAATGGAAAATGGTGAATATGATTTTGATGGAACTAAACAACCATTGGTAAGTTTACTAAATTCACATTTATTAGTTATTAAAAAATATATTGTAAGAAGTATTTTTTTAAAATTTGAAATTAGTTTTATAACATATTCCTAGTAACATACACAACAAAAGGTTTGATTTGAAAATAACATTGTATAATGATTTAATGTTATTTCTGAATTCTTCAATTACATCCATAACATAATTTGTGAGTAGGAACGTTGATCAATGGTTTCGGTAGTTAATTAGCATTATATAACATGTTGCTTATTATTATTTATTTATTTATTTGAACACATAAACATTGATACAAGGAGGCACCAAATAGATATGCGCCACATAAGTCATTCGATTTGTGTGAGGGCTGTGATACTGCCCGGGTGCCCAGACCGAAACAGGTGGTTTTCTTAGGAGGCCACACCCCGAGCCTTTGACCTAAAGGTCTAACCCACAAGGAAGTGGAGCATCGTGAGGAGATGCAGTTCCATGGTGGCCGGTGACCATCGATTGGTTCATACACCATTTGTTCCTTCAGGATACTGGAGTCCATGTGCACGATTGGTTTGGGATCCAGTTAAAGCGCCTGTCGTTCGCTTTTCGTCCTCTCAATTTCGTAAACAACACCCCCGCCACGAGAAGGCAGTGAGTAGGACTTCATTGGCAGAGGCTGTATACGCGTGTCTGAGTGAGAGCATTTGGAGAGGGAGGGCGGGCCCACCCCACTCTCGGCCATACCAGGATATTTGGGGGCTAACTGATGTCAAATTCATTCGCTGAGATTTTACAAATACATTCTTCCTTTTTAATGTCTCGCATCGACTCGGCGCCCAAATACTGTGAAACTGTTCGATCAAATTTAGACGAAAGTTCCTATTAATGTACACAAATTTGTACTTGTTAACTGAATTACATTTTAAAACAATTTACAATCTGATCATTTCATTAATCTTTCGTCGTAAAGTTTATGAGACTAGATAGTAAGTCTTTTAGAAGCTATCTATAATTTAAACACCATGTTCTTGTCTATAAAACCTTAATTTTCCATGATCTAATCCTGGAATGTATCGTGTGTCTAAATAGTTAAAAAGGAAGTTTTACAGTTGTTTAACTAACATCAGAAACTGAACAAGGTTAACTAACATGAATATAACATTAGTTCTCCTTTATCGGTATGGCGTTCCAGCCAGATTGGTTGGTTAAACTTTCTCTGGGGAGGTCTATGTTAGGCTCTTCTGCAATCGATTCCGTGTTTTTCAAGGCTCACAAACTCGCGTTTGTGATTTTATGGGGAATCGGTCCCTAGTATTGACTACCATATCTTTTTATTATGTCTTCGACCTGATGGGTTGGGCTGCTAATTTTATTAGACATACGGCAGACAACATTTCAGCTAACGTTTCCATTATACGCAACCACACACACACCCTTTGTATATGCCTACATACATGAACTACATAGGCCTGAGGACTTTTGCGATTCGTATACATAAGCATACACATCAGGTAGCCTGGTGCAATTAAGTGAATCCTGAGTTAATCAAGGATACAATGGAGTGGGTAATTATTCCGATCTCCGTCAACTACCTAAATGGGCTAGTAAGGTTGCCCCTACTATCAAACAGCGCCACGAGAAGACCTTAGGTCGTATTTTGCTGCCTCTCGTGTTACAGCAAATATATTAGAATTAGATAATAGCGACTGATATATGATGATGTGAAAAATATACAAAAGAGAAGAAATTTCACTGTTCTCAAAAATTTTATTATATTGATTTTGTTGTTGTTGAAATTACTATCAGTTCGGTTTATTCGGTTGTTGTAGTCTATAGTTTAGAAAGTAAACATTTCACTTTGTAATCCTTCCTGGTATAGTTCGTCATCAGTTGCAAAGCAAGTCTGACCAATACTGAGTGATATCATGGTACTTTTAATTGTGAAAAAGTAAGCAAACACTAATATCTAGCGGCTGATATATATATTTCATCGAATGGTGTATATAATTCAAATTGAAGGAGTGTTCACATTTTTCGTATTACATAATCACGACGAGATAGATAGAAAAGTATAAAAACAATTTGTCAGCAATTACAATGAGAGAAATTAGACATTGAAAATATGATTCGAAAAGATAGGTGTAAACGAATACTGAAACTCAAAATTTAGCTGATAAGTAAGTTCATCTGCGCCATTGTGGCCGATTCTTAGTCGTGTCATTTACCCTCGTCAACCATTGATCATGGTTATATTATCGACCCCCAGCCACGTAGTTTACATCTACCTACATGGCTCAGATTAATAGTTATTCCCTTCATTATTCAACAAGATGTTTTAGCTTGATTGACCCTAGCTTTTATCCAACTTATTCTTACACCAACCGACATCGATTTGTCTAGGTATACAGTAGTTAGACATACGCAACACATGCCTCAAACACCTCACTCAATGAAAAGTCAAAGCATGTTAGATCGATTTTCCATCTTTTCTCAAATACTCTATGCTTAACGTTGCATACTAGATTGTTCCACAATACACAAGTATATCAGTCAGTCAGCTACAACGTAGGACCAGGCACATATGTGCATCGGTCAAAGTCGCCATACCTCATTAGCACAACAAGATGAACACCGGATTCATAGGAGTGATTAATTCAGTGGTAGTAATTTATAAAAGAAAGATTGCATATAAAAACATAGTACAGGGAGAAAGATATGAAGCGATTTTAATCTCATAGTTTAAGGGAAGACAGAGAGTGTATACACCAACTCCATTGTAATCGATTCTGAGCTATATCTCTTAGAGTCTCCAACTATTGGTTACGATAGTCACGTGGACCCCAGCCGAGTAGTTTGCATCTACCAACATGGCTCAGACCATAAGTTAGTGACTTTACAGACTGATGCTACGTTTTGGTTTGGCCACCACTAACTTTCTTCCAACCATCCCGAACACCGGTTAGCATTGCACGTCATGGTAATCGGTGTTCAGGCATACGTAACACGTGACCCAACCATCTCAGTCGATGAAGGTTCACAACCTCATCAACTGATTTACCATCCTTCCCTAATACCCTACGTCTAATATATATATATATATCTTATAATATAGACCACAGATTGCCTTTCCTTTTTCTTTATATATAATATGAATTTTTTGTTGATTACTAATACTTTTTTAATGTTTTGATGTATTTATTCTATAATATCTAGCCTCAAAAGCCAGTTGTTGCACGTGCCATCGCCTATAAACGTGCACAAACTGAATTAGAAGGATGTCGTGCTAAATTAGAAAGTCGAGGTGAAGAATTGCGTGAATTACAAAAAGTATTAAAAGCACGTGCTGATGAGCTTAGTGAAATGTCTGTTCGTGTTAGTTTAGCTGAGAAAAAGTTAGAAACTGCAGGAAAATCGAATGAAGAGAAAATTTCCCGATTAGAACAACGTTTAGAACAATCAGAAGCTCAGCAGAAACGTAATGAAAAGTATGTTTTTTTAATGTTTGTTACTACTCTTTAATAATTTTAGAATGTAACGTTTATCAATCAACACGAAACGTTACCTTCATATCGCATAAACCTATCCACAAGACAATGTTTCTTGATATATTTGTTATATTAATGATAATTCCATGGAAAATAAGGTTATTGTCGGTTTGTGTGCCACACCTTCGCAATAGGTGTGGCACTACAATCAATCTTATGCAAACCAAAAGATAAAGTAACAAAGGAAAACAAATCAAACATCATCTACAAAATAAATTGTGCCAACTGCGAAAAACACTACATCGGACAAAGCGGACGCCCCCTCCACCTACGCCTACATGAACATCAATTAGCAGTCAAACGCCATGATATCTCTTCACTTATATCAATACACGTGGACAACTGCGGACACTCATTCGATTGGAAAAATGTGGAAATCTTAGACAGAGAAAACTCCAAAAACACCAGAGAATTTTTAGAAGCCTAGCACTCAGGTCAATCAGCAATCAACAAGCATATTGAAATCAATCCAATTTATCAACCAATCAGAAAAATCATGCACAAACATAAGAACAAAAATCAAAACAATGGGAGACATAACCAAAACAAAGAAGTAAACAACGACAAGTTTAAGGTCAATAAGAACCAATCAACATCGAGGTGCACAGAACAAGCTTTGAGACATATATGGAGAAATTCAAACACTTCACTTCTATCTGAAGTTTGTGCTGATGATGTCGTTCAGAAGAACGATGAAAGCTCCACAACCAAACCATCCAGCTCAGAGAACAAAACTCCACCAAAATCATCCACCTGAGCTACAAATCTTCTCCACCATCTCAAAATAAGGTTATCTCTGAAGTTGAAATCATAAGTCAATTGAAGCTAGACTACCACCATGGAAAACCTGGAAGCACTGGACGGCCGTTTCATCCCAGTATGGGACTCCTCAGCAATGCGCATGCATTCATGATTTCAACCAGTGAAACTTCTAAAATCTTCACAAAACCACTTGTGATTATCTCTGAAGTACCTACCTCTCGTTATTTCCTACATGAAAGTTTCAACTGACATTGCATTACATTAGCATTGAATGTGCAACTTTAATGAGTTTTCAATTCCAATAGAATAACTCATCGGTTGTTATCATTTTCCCACATTCTGTCATTTTATAATGCGAACTTTATACACTGGTTTCTTAAATCAACAGTCATCAAATTTTATGCACACAAGAAAAATGATTGAAAACCTGATATCCATATAACTGCATTAATATTACTTGATTATAATCAGTAGTATGTGACAATGAACTGAATAGTGATGTTTCTCAAAGTGACCTATTTACAGTGTTGATACAGAATTTTAAGATATTCCAGCGGAGAGTTTGCCTATTCATTAGGATAATTTCTCAATACTTACATAGTTTTTAATTGATATAAAGTGGTATTTCCCCAGCAAATGTCCGTCTCTTTAACCGGGTTGGTGGATACGGTGGATTCATCTAGGGGAGTTGCAAAACCCTGATTCCCAAATAATGGTATACATGGACTCCAGAATTCTAAAGAAATAAATCGTATATGGGCCTATTGTTGGTCACCGGCTATCATTCAATTTGTGTGGCGCATATATATTTGTTTCCTCCTTGCACCAATGTTTATGTTTGCGTGCTTCGTTTGAGCTCAGAGTCAGTATTCGAGCCCTCACATATATCGAATGATCTGTGTAGCGCATACGTATTTGGTGCCTTCTTATACCAAGGTCTATGAGTTTAAATAAATTAATAAAAGTTTATGCTTAAATAAATAAATAAATTGCCTCTTGAAATGTTAGCGTGAAGTTATTCACAGATAAGTGTTTTACTACTAATATCTTTTACGGATCATATTTCAAACCTTCATTCCTGTTGTCAACTTTTTGTTGAATTAGTGCAAATCAACATCCATAAATTAAATTTCATTCGACAAGATTTTTCGGACCACTTGTTGTGTTGGAATAAATTCATATCCATTTTTAAGTCAGTCAATACAAAATAGAGGACATAGTATACAAGTAAACATTGGTATATATTATCACATCAACATAACAAGGTGTTTTTTCACCATAAATCATGCCTCACATAAATCACATTGACCGAAATGACATGGCATTGACTTGGTCAAACCTGTTTTTTAATTGATTGCACCAAATATTCTTGCTTTGTTCCTTTGTACTATTTAAACTTTGGTTAATTTCATTTGTTTATTTACTCTGAAGAAGTAGCTTACACTGAGTCACGAAACGTCAAAAAATCTTTTTAAAAGAAACTTAATTTTTCTACTCATTTTTTATTTGTTTTATTTGAACACATAAATGTTGGTACATGAGGGCACCAAATAGATATGCGCCACACATTTTCATTGTCATTATATTTGTGTGTGGGCTGTAATATTGCCCGGGTGCCCAAACCGAAGCAGGTGGTTATCTTAGGGGGCCACACCCCAAGCCTTTGACCTAAAGGTCTAACCCACAAGGCAGTGGAGCATCGTAAGGAGATGCAGTTCCATGGTGGTCGGTGACCAAAGATTGGTTCATACGCCGTTTGTTCCCTCAAAATACTGGAGCCCATATGCGCCATTGATTTGGGATCCGGTTAAAGCGCCGGACATTCGCTTTTCGTCCTCTCATTTTCGTAAACAATACCCCCGGCACGAGAAGGCAGTGAGTAGGACTTCATTGGCAGATGCTGTATATGCGTGTCTGAGTGAGAGCATTTGGAGAGGGAGGGCGGGCCCACCCCACTCTCGGCCATACCATTCGGGGGCAACTAACATTGGGATATTACAATCTATCCAATGCTCAATTTATTTGAAATTGTCAAGTCAAACCTTAATAGTGATACCTCTTATCAAACCGTTATGGCAAATAACTGAATTCGTATACATTGTTCGTTTGTTTGTTTGAAAGAATTCGAGATTTTTAAAAATATTTACATTATTTGAGCAGTCTTAAAAAATAGATTACTGATTTGATCGAAGCATCTAAGACTAACATCGGTTATCCGAATATTTCAGTACATTGTCTTCTATGTTACCATGCATATATTTTTTCATTATTAAAATAATAAATAGATTGATGATAGATGTGTAATCTTAAAATGATACTATGTAACCCATTGATATAACTGCTCACTACGCCTGTTATTCAACGACGGAACATCCATTGCAGAATGACAACTAAAAAAAGAGCAGAACGATAATAGATCCTTAAATCACAGTAGTATTGTAGTGAACGAAGAAATCAAGTCGAGAGAACCAATTTCTTTAATAACACAAAATTACAATGATTTCGTAAAATATGAAAACCATGCATTAAATACATAATTTGCACATCTTTAATCAGTCTTCCCTTACATGCTTGATGATTTTTTCAATTTTTTTGTTACTATCGTTATTGTTTCCTTTTCTGTTCTCTTCAATTGAATCTTCACAATCTTCTACTGGCATACATCCCACTTCCGATTAGCGCTACATACTACTTATATCTGTCAACATGAGTAGTATGTAGTGTCGGTTATTATATTAAGCCCATATACTATATTCTAGGTTTCGGATAGCCCAATCTACTCGTTCTACTTGAGCTACATTTTGACCTTGTTAATTATTCACTTATCAATCTTGACTGTTTTTATATGAGCGTATATGTGTGTACATTTCGTATCCCATTACTCATCACATATCTGTAACTTACTTTTGTGTAACTATAAATATTGATTAACGCTTGGTTAAATGGGAGTTGGCTTACCAGCCATCTCCACTCTGTGTCGTTTCTCTTCTCTCTATTCTATTCGTTTTATATACAAATTATATGTATTCACAAGTCCATTCTCGTTATTCGACTTATTTAATTCTATTATTCACTAACGTGATCTAAGTCGATGATTATATACGAGGATAGTCGATGACAAACATCACTACGATCTATTTGGAGTCAAATCTCGGGCCACTAAAGTGGAGAGCACTTTCGACAACATTGTTCGATCTAAATGAGGACAAAATTACGGGCCCCACATGTATATACCACAGTATTTGTTCTCCTGGTCACATAAAACAATGTGTAATATTATAAATTGAGATCAAGACTATAAAATTTATGACTGAATTTACAATTACTAATATTGTTATGAATTTAAGTTGTGGTCGATTTCTACCCTGTGTTATCGATCGATTACAGTGACACTAAACACGTACGGACGGCCTAGAGTCTCGATTGGTCCTGCTTCCCTGTCTAGCCCAGTCAGTTGAGTCCAGAACACAAGTCACAGCCTCGCGGATATGAATCACTATATTTCAAACATACTTTGTTTATATACCAGTCAAGCATACCACAGCGTACCATAAAAATAGAAAACAACATTTTGTACAAGTGAACAGATATCGACCAATAGGAAATGTCCATTTAAAGTCCAAGGACACCATTGAACTTAACATGATAATTATTGGTCTATTCCTGCGCATCCGCAACAAATATACATCAATCTTCTATTCGTTTTTGATGGTAGTGCACTTCAAGAGAAATTAAGGTAATCGAATATTCCTTATTCCAAGTGAACTATCTAATGAGTGATTGATCTTTCTGTGAAGTCTGGAAATAATTATTGTTGTAACGTTTAAGATTATTGTATAATAAAAACTTTGTTTTTTTCAAATACTTATTTGAGATTTGTTTATTTCAACAACAAAAAATTATTACAAACAGAGAATATGAACAAACCTTAGATGCACTTCAAGCGGATATTGAATCTTTGGAACAAGAAAAAGCAGATCTTAAAGAAAAATTAAAAACACTCAGTAAAAAAGCTTTATTTGAAGGAATTATTAAATCGCCACTGCTTCCAAGTAAGTAAGGTTGTGTTTTTCTTCTTTCTTTTTTTAGTTTTCAGAAGTTACAAGGTTGTTATATATCAATTAGAGTTCAATTTACACCTCCTGTGTTATGTTATTTGATAGATAGTTGTCGACTTTTTATTGTAAGGTAAATTAATTGAGTTGATATTCAAGCTTATAATTCATTAGTTAGAATTAGAATACGATTAAAGTATATAGGGACAGGTTAAACAGGATTAAAAACACAACTTTAAGCTTTTTGTTCGAAATTTATATATCATGAATAATGAGTAATGGAAATACTTTGTGTACAAGACTGCCTCTCCTTTTGGAGTGCCTATCTGGACTGTGATCATGCCTTGGTCTGCGCCAATCTTACCTTACTTTTCAGTGGCCAACGAAGTGACCACCACCAAAGAATTGATGTCAGCAAGCTGGTTGCAAATTCTGTTGCTAGTAGGTATCGAATCGAGTTAGCTTCTAGGTTAGTTACCATTCCACCGAAAAGTATAGATGAGCATTGGTTTCAACTTCATGACACAATGAAAATGGCGAGTAAAGACGCTTGCGGCTTCGCAAAACGTCCCACTTATAAGCACTGGGTTTCTTCAGGCTCCTTATACCTCATCAAAGCCAGTCGGCGGTCTACTCCGGGCGACCGTGAGTTTGAACACAAACGAAGGCTGTTACGTAATGAAGTTGAGCAAAGCTTGGGTAAGGACCGAGAAATCTGGTGGTCAGAGCATGCTAATGAGCTGGAAGCAGCAGCTACTTCTGGTAACTACCGAAAACTCTTCCAACTCATCCGAGCCACTGGCAGCAAGAAGTCTGGTGTGAGCGAAACAATCTGTGAGGATGACGGGATGCCAATCACTAACATCCATCGACGTCTTGGACGGTGGGCAGAATTCTTCGAAGGGCAGTTCAACTGGCCTGCTGCTCCACCATAGCAATTTCTTAATACTAAATTACTCCTACTGTCCATTTTTTTATCTTCAATATTCTAGGCACAACGCAATCTAAAACTCAGCCTTCAACAACAGGCTCTACCACTACTTCAGCTCCTGCACCTGATAGGCAAACTTCAATCGAGTGTACATCACCTTCACCTGGTCCAGCTCGTTTGGCTGCTTACCGAGATGCTTCATTGATGGCAATGGAGGTTGGTTTTAATATATATATAACAGTACAAATATGTAGGATATTAGTTCTTTTGTGATAGCTAATTACTTTCCAAAAACTAATTCTACTGCTCAATACCTTTTTTGTATCTACAGTCGAAAAAGTTTATTTGTCTACTTGTTTTAAATATGTAATAGTTTGTCTGTGATATTAAGAAAATCCCCTCATAAACAATCTCCATTTTCAACACAGTCATTTTATATGTCAGTCCTGATAAGAAGACCTTAACAAATTTCCTGGATTCTAATGCTCACCTTTATAAAAAAAATCCTATGGTGATTTTTCTCCAGTCTAGATTTTCCCACTAACCCTTGCTGATGTGTGATTGATTGTTCTCGCTTTTACTTTGTAGTTTTTATGGTATCTCAATAGAGCTATTCAATTGCTATTTTGACTTCTTTTAAGCGTATTAGAGCTTCTCTGAAAGTATCTTCTTTTCTCTCATGTCCCCAGGTGGATTAATAACACTGAATTGTTATAGTGTATTATTCAATCGATATATCTAGTTCTTATATAAGCCGCTCGTATTAGAAGAATCTCCCAATACGTGTTCATCTTAATTTATATGTAATAATTTCTCAACCTGCTTATGAGACCGATTTGTATTTTGTTTATCTGGATATACTTCTTAATTTCGACCGATTAACAAACGTTTCACACTTGTGAATCATGATGTTGATTATCAGCGCTAGAGCAAATTAAACTTATGTAAATAGATTCAATTAACTGCATGTAGTTATTTAAATTGTATCTATGTCCATTTGTCCAATTGGCTAACCACATTTAGTATGCTTTTGTGTGTCATATTGTAAGTGGTAATTGTAGTACACATTTGTCTCAGATTGACGAGCTTAATCAATTCGAAACAGTGACGTGATAGTTAGTTGCTAGATGTCTAATCCACTAAAACTGATCATGTACCAAAAAACTATTGTGGTGACCTTGTTATCTGCCTACTAGTCTTCATTTAAAGCTTGAAGGAAAAGTTGTCTCGAAACTAGCTTACGGCTTTAATGAACCGGACGACTTACTATAAAACCTTGAGAATGCAACACGTGAGTTTCACTTTGTGACCAGATGGCCTTGAAGACAGAGGGGAAAGAACTAACCTACGCTGACAAATGGCCTAATTGGTTAACAAGAGAAACGAAAAGTTCATCAAAGCAAAAGACTCTATATCCGATTCAACTAACTCAAGAAAGTACACGGTAAAAGTATGATATACTGATGACCTTGAGTTCACATATCAGAATTGAGGTAACTCATTTATTTTTCGCGAAATTTAACGTTCAATGATAGATAACCTGTATGTTATCATTAATTGAATGAAAATTGACAGTAATTGTCTCTTAAAATGCTCGGACTGGGTAAAAATATCTATGACTCAGCCAAAATGTGAATTTTTGATGGTGCTTGACCTAAATGACTAAAACACAACTTCTAAGGTAGATTGTGCTAAAGTGCTTAATGTGATTCAATGCTTGGTCAAGACTTACTTACTTACTTACTTACACCTGTTACTCCTCGTGAAGGAGCATAGGTCGCTCACCAGCATTCTCCATCCAACCCTGTCCTGGGCAATACTTTCCAGCTCCTTCCAGTTGTAATTCATCATTTTCATATCTGCTTCTATTATCCGACGTAATGTGTTCTTTGGCCTTCCTCTTTTCCGCTTCCCTTCAGGATTCCAAGTTAGGGCTTGCCTCGTGATGCAGTTTGACGATTTGCGTAATGTATGTCCTATCCATTTCCATCGTCTTTTCCTAATTTCCTCTTCAGCTGGAAGTTGGTTTGTTCTCTCCCACAGAAGGCTATTGCTGATGGTATCCGGCCAATGGATGTTGAGTATCTTGCGTAGACAGCTATTTATAAATACTTGTACTTTCTTGATTGTGGTTGTTGTAGTTCTCCAAGTTTCAGCTCCATACAGTAGAATTGCCTTGACGTTCGTATTGAAGATTCTCACTTTGATATTGGTTGAAAGTTGTTTTGAGTTCCATATGTTCTTCAATTGTAGGAATGCGGCCCTTGCTTTGCCAATCCTCGCCTTTACGTCTGCATCTGAACCTCCATGTCTATCGACGATGCTTCTCAGATATGTGAAGGATTCTACATCTTCCAGAGTTTCGCCATCAAGAGTGATTGGATTGCTGTTCTCCGCTTTGAATTTGAGGACCTTCGTTTTCCCTTTGTGTATACTGAGGCCTACTGATGCAGAGACTGCTGCTACACTGGCTGTCTTCATCTGCATCTGTTCGTGTGTACGTGATATAAGAGCTAGGTCATCTGCGAAGTCCAAATCGTCTAATTGATTCTGAGCTGTCCATTGTATTCCGTGTTTTCCTTCAGATGTCGAGGTCTTCATAATCCAGTCGACCACCAGAAGAAAGAGAAAGGGAGAGAGTAAACAGCCTTGTCTGACCCCGGTCCTTACTTGGAATGCATCTGTCAGCTGTCCTCCATGCACTACTTTGCACTGTAGTCCGTCGTATGAGTTCCGGATAATATTGACAATCTTCTCAGGAACTCCGTAATGTCGAAGAAGTTTCCATAATGTCCTCCTATCTACACTGTCGAATGCCTTTTCATAATCAATGAAGTTGATGTACAGTGACGAGTTTCACTCAACTGATTGTTCGACGATGATCCGTAGTGTTGCAATTTGGTCTGTGCACGACCGATCCTTTCGGAATCCAGCTTGTTGATCTCGAAGTTGGGCATCTACTGCATCCTTCATCCGGTTCAGCAAAACTCTGTTGAAGACCTTCCCTGGTATTGACAGTAGTGTAATGCCTCTGTAGTTTTCACATTTGCTCAGATCTCCTTTCTTTGGAATCTTGATGAGGTGCCCTTCTTTCCAGTCCATTGGCACTTGTTCCTCCTCCCAAATCTTTTTGAATAGAGGGTAAAGCATGCTTGTGGTTACTTCGACGTCTGATTTCAGTGCTTCAGCTGGTATGTTGTCGGGTCCTGCTGCTTTCCCGTTCTTGATTTGTCTGACGGCCATTCTAATTTCTTCCGTCGTTGGTGGGTTGACATCTATAGGAAGATCTGTGTGTGCTGCTTCGATGTTCGGTGGATTCATACGAGCCGGCCTATTCAGGAGTTCCTCGAAGTATTCTACCCATCTGTTACGCTGTTGTTGAATTTCAGTGATTGGCTTGCCTTCCTTGTCTTTGACCGGCCTCTCTGGTTTACTGTATTTCCCTGATAGTTTCTTCGTTGTATCGTAAAGCTGTTTCATATTTCCTTCTCTAGCAGCTTTTTCTGCCGTCGTTGCTAATTCTTCCACGTATTTCTTCCTGTCGGCTCTAATGCTCCTCTTCACTTGCTTGTTTGCTTCTATGTATTCAGCTTGTGCTTGGACTTTCTCTGCTCGTGTTCGGCTGTTGTTAATTGCTGTCTTCTTGTTCTTCCTTTCTTTGATCTTGTCCAGTGTTTCTATAGAGATCCATTCCTTATGATGGTGTTTCTTTAGGCCCAGAACCTCTTGACACGTTGAAGTCAATGTTTCTTTGATGCCTTTCCATTTGTCCTCCATGGTAGTTTCTTCTTCCTTCAGTAGATCTTGAAAGGCTTGGAACCTGTTGTTGAGAGCTATCTTGAATTCATTGAGTTTGTCAGTATCTCGAAGGAAGGCTGTATTGAACCTTTGTAGTACTGTTTGTCCACTTGTCCAGTTCTTTTTTAGCTTCAGTTTTAAATTGGCTACAACTAGGTGGTGATCTGAAGCTACGTCAGCTCCTCTCCTGGTTCTCACATCTTCCATTGTCCTTCGGAATTTTTTGTTGATGCAAATATGGTCTATCTGGTTCTCTGTAGTGTGGTCCGGTGAGATCCATGTAGCCTTGTGTATACGTTTGTGTGGAAATATTGTGCCTCCTATGACTAATTTGTTGAATGCACACAAATTTGCAAATCTTTCTCCATTTTCGTTCCTCTCTCCCAGTCCATGTCGTCCCATAATATCTTCATATCCAGTGTTGTCTGTTCCGACCTTGGCATTTAGATCTCCCATCAGAATGGTGAGGTCCTTTCTTGAGCATTTCTCTATGATTGACTGCAGCCGCTCGTAGAATTGATCTTTAATGTCGTCGTTGCTATCATTGGTCAAGAGTGTTCAGTGAATTTAGGTAATATTCTCTCTTTTAACTCTTCCTCTAAATCTCAACCCTAAGTTTCGTCATTTTGTGAGCTGTTGTCAGTTTATGATGAAAACCTCAACCCTAATTTGTAAATCGAACTCAAAACTCCAACCTTACTCTTTATACCTAGACCTACTCTTTTTACATTATAACTAATTTTATATGGTAATGAAAACTCTATAGAGTGATAACCCTTATTCAGAGTATAATATCCTAACTCTTAACGTGTAAACTTAACCATTTTCCTTTTCTACAATCAATAATTTGGTATATGAGAGTTAACTATTCGGATCGAAGCTGTTATTTCATTGTTATAATATTGCATTTTGCTCTTAATTATTTTATTACTTTGCAACGATTCCTGATTGGTGGCTTATAATTCTCCCAAGATTGTCAGTATATTTTATCAAGGTTCACGAATAAATATAATCAATAACTGGACCACAAAGCACATTAGATGAGAAAATACTATTGCACAAAACTAGGACATTAGAATATAAGGATCACGTTGAATTAGGCGTAACAAAGTCTAAAAAAGTTTTCATAGTTCATCATTTCTTCATTCCTCTTGTCACACTAAATATACCTCAGCAATTTAAAAGAAAATAAAGATCAGTTTAGCCTCCACATTTAATTAATATCTTTCATTAATAAGATATCAATATTTAAAAATCACCGTTTCTTATTTGTTGTAGATCGAAGCTCTCCGTGAAGCTGTTCGACGTTTATCTTCTGAAGTGTCCAAACTTCGTGGTGAGAAGATGCTTGTAAGTTCTTCCTAATTATTGATTCCGATGTATATGTTGTATGTCATAAGTGCTATATCTTATCATTAGCCAAGATGATCTCAAGTACTGTTAAAGGTGTTTGAGCGGTTATTGATTCAAGGTTGCCGACATAATGAAAGTATACTTCCTTTTGAGGAATCTAAAAAAGGAATCCAGGGGAAGGGTGCCTTGTTAACCTTAGCGAGAGTTTTCCTAAATGTTTCTTAATCAATCACTAAAGATTCGCCAATCAGAATATATACTACTTTAGTTAGTCCACAAATGAACAACGTAAATTTTGGTCAACGATATGCTTCTCTTCTCAAAGATTAACCTTAATGCTTATTGATCCACCAAGCAGATACATTCGTCCTGGTTTCAGCCAAATGTCTATTATTATATTTGAGTGACAAGTTTCGTATGAAACTAGGTGGTTGAGAATGAAACTTATGAATGTTTACCCGTTTTATTTATTGAAGGTCTACTCATTCGATTATTTCATCCTTAATTTATTGGTATATATATTTCATGCACCCATTAGTTTATATGCATACATTACCAGACCAATAATTTGATTGTTAAAATCAATTAATAAAATGAACGTGATAATACGATATGAGGCCGATCGACGGTTACTTAGGAGATTATTTTGTTGACTTAAGTCCCCAAATAACTTACTTATATACAGAATATGAAAACCAAATGAACATTGTAAAATGCCAAAGGCAGTTGAAGGAAATTAGCTTTTAGGTCACTCATTGTCCTACCAATTAAAACTGTTAATCTTAATCTTGTAACATCATATCACCTCCCTCTAAAGAAATGATATGTGATCCTTCTTTAGAAACTTCGCTCAATACATTCTTCAATTTTATTGAAAATCAAGTTTTTGTTCTTTTTTCCCATTGGAACCATCTTAACATCGAATACATGTTAATTCATTTTCCCTCTTTAAAATGAACATATCACACGATTTTATTCGTAACTATCCAACACCTGAAGAGCTTGTATACTGTAACTGAAAAGGTCAGTAGTTCTCATGAAACTGATGCGTGGCTTGTGGAGGTTGATCTGGGATTCGCGTTATTGGTTCAGTTGAATGCCTTGTAATCCAAATTGGAGATTCCAAACTTGAATTCAAAGAATTTGAAAGAAATTTTGTACTCATTGGCTTTCAACTGACAAACCACAGGTTTGCAACCCGTTCTACATAAATCGGTCTGGAAAGCTACATCGTATCATGTAAATAACGTAGTTCGAAATGTAGATTTTATAAATTGGTACTTGGTCAGTGAGTGACATTATGGATTGCTCAAAAATCATCTTCATTTCCTGAATTACGTTTTCCTGTTGATAACATAGCTCGTCTAACCTCTAATTAATGAAACAACACTTAAGCTAGTTTTTCACTTGTCACTTATAATCCATCACTTTTTACTGACTCACTTTTAATTTTTAAAAATCTAGGAACAACTTAAGAGCTTGGGTTCTTTGCAAAAACCTTCACGTCGTCAAGAGCCTATTATTGTAGATGATGACACTTCTGATAAAGAGAATAAATCATCCTCACCTATGCAAGAACACAAATCTGTCCTACCACAAATTGTCCATGATGCAAATGTACTACGAAAAGAAATTTTCTCTGTACTTGCAAATCCTCAAGTTGTTCGTTTGCCTAAATTATTGTCAAAACAAGTTTCAGATATGCCTATTTCAGATTCTGGAGATGATGGATCAACTTCTACTATACAACCGGGTAAAGTTGTTCAACCCAGTGCTACAATTCAGTTTAATAGACAAACAGTGAAATTAGTCAAATTGAAAAATGAATTAGAAAAGGTAATATATTTCTATACCCGTATACTTCAACTGTAATCTATTTCGTTAAACGTAAAATGCTACTGTTATTTCTTTTCATGACAAAAAGTTGATTTATGGTTAAAATATACATGTATTAAACCTTTATGAGCTACTTTATGTCTTAAAGTAGTGAAATGACACAAAACTAGGTCTACTGTAATGTTTCTGTCAATTAACCTAGAAGATACTAATAAAAATGAATGGAAGTTTAAGTTAAATCGATTCAGGACAAATCCGTTATTAGTGACCATTTACTCATTATACTGAAAACAATTTCCGAGTATAAACCCCAAAATATACTATCATAACTATCTCATGTGCTTTTTTTTGTAGCTTTACTCTGCATATAGGATAAATCACATGTTCATTTTAAATTATGAGAAAGTTTGCTTCGTTATTGTATAGTATACTGTGTTAGTTTCGTGATTTTCTATTCTAATAACCCACTAATTAGAACATAACTGTGTTAGATGGATAATGGCTGGCAGAAAAAGCCAGGAACATGCTCTTCGTCCTACTTTGGATTCGTCAGCTCGATGTACCTGTTGATGTTCACTCTGGGACTCGAACCTAGTACCACGACCTGGATTCCTGTGTTAGCCACCACCCATCTCTGTTTATAATGTTTGTGACTTAAGGTAAGTTCGAGGCAATCCGCACAAGATGCATGTATGCCAATAAAAAGCTGACTATTTGCAGTCCTAAACATCAGTGTGAATATTCAAGAGACCAATGCAGAAATGAATAACTGTGTTAAACTGATACCCATTATTTTCTTACGACTCCATAAATCGTGATCTTAAAAGATGGCAGGTAAGTAGCATTCAAAATATCATAATAACACCCAATGGCGTTTATGTTGTAGTAGAGTAGTGGTAAGCTGCTCTGTTTTCAGCCATTTAGTTGTGATTTTGAATTTCTTTCCTTCAACTTAGATTTAGGTAACTGATAATCACCAGCTATCAAACAATAGTTGTATAAGTTGAAGGAAAATGCAAGAATTTGCATTTCTTAGCCCCAGATTGCTATGATATCTATCGGTATATCACGAACATTGACAATTAAATTCAACCAACGCTTTTAAATTATTTTGAGTAACATATAAATCTAACTAGTAAATTCGCACATTCCAACATTGCTGGATTCAATGAATACACGTAATAACGACACGGTATGGCTACTTATAGTATTACTCAGCCTTCTTCCATCCCCCAGCTAAAATGGAGTATCGTATCGAGTAGCGGTTGAGGGTCTGTGACAATACCCTATTAGGATTTTTCTTATCAGTCATTTTACCATATATATTCAACAGTACCCTACACCCAACCGACCGTAGCTGCTAACTTGATGTAGTGCTCAAGCTTCCCCATCGTAGTGACTCGATCGAGCTAGCTAAAATAATTGTTCCTTTAGGTTTTACTATGCCATCCAGATCATGTCGGGAACGGTAAGACTAAAAGCAGCCAGCTCATGAGCAAAAAGCGGAGTCATGCTGCTGATTATAGAGTAGTTTGACAACGGTAAGGTGTTTCCTTCAGGCAACCAGCGTATGTAGTGCTGTCGCCCTTTCAGTAGAAGAAAGAAGTTAAGAAAGGTGCGACCTAGAACTGTAAAGTCGTACCTTACTCCACAGATTTTCGTCTCGAATAGTAAGGCATTTTGAACCACGGATCTAACACATTATAAACTTTTCACAGAAGGGCCGTGTATAACCGGCATCAAGCTGTTATCTCCTAGACTCTGTAGTCACGCTTCCAAGTTACTACGACCACTACTAATCCCGTTTCATTGTCAGATCTCTCAAAACGAAATACTCTCACGATGAGGATCACGAGGAACTGACAACCACTCTCATGTACACTATTAACAATGCTAGGAATTCTTTTGTTGCGTTTGACTTTACTTGACACATAACTTCAGCATTACCCAATGGATTGTTATGCCTTTTTTTAAAAATTATCTTAACTTCCTCCACTGTATTGATTGATCTTTTTTTCAATTCTACTTTCTTTTTTATTCCCTCAAAACCAACATAATACTACTCCTAGTTACAACAACGTGCATTTGATGCAATTAAAACTGAAATACCAAATACATTAATTCAAGCAGATTTCACATCATTTCCATCAGTGAAAATGAAACAATTATTAAATTTATCAAATATTAATGAAACTACATCATTACATTATCGTTTATTATTTCCTGGTGGTAGTACTACTACGACTACTATTGATGGTGATTGTGAAACTATGAATACAGCAAAAATTTCTATGACAAAACAAGATCTACAACATTTACATTCATATTTGTTAAAAGTTTAAAAATAATGAATTAATCGATGGTATCATTTGTTTATTTAATGTTAGTGTGTTTTTTTCTTTTTTTGGGGGGAGGGGAAAGGGGGATTCTAGACTTATTTGAATGTGTTTCTTGTATCCTATGGTGAGATATGTAATGTGTATTGAAGATATATATATATGCATATTCATATGATTATATCCAAGGAGAGAAGTATTCATCAACCTGATATTTCATTATTCTTTGTTTCTTCTCCTTCTTCTTCTTCATCACTGTTTTCAAAGTTATTTTTAATAAGATATTTTACTTATCTGTAATGTTTATTTTTCGGTTTTATGGTTTAATTTATTGCTGATCATAATATAAAACGATAAATAAATTGAAGTGATGAAACAACTTATTGATTTATTATCAAATAAACTGGTCGTATTATGTTTTGATATGTTAATTTTAATAGTTGAATTCATGAGCCGATTTAAGCTAGATCATCATTGAAAACTTGAAAGTATTCGACCGCCGTTTCATTCTAGTATTGGACTTTTCAGCAGTATGTTTAGTGGTCTTGAAATTAAACGTTCACCCGCAAGACCAAACGTCCTGAGTTCGAACGTCACGTGAGGGATTGTAGATGTGCATGGTTGAGGAGTCCTATACTAGGACGAAAAAACCTTCCAGTGCTTCAGGGTTTTTAATGGTGATCTATCTTAGATCGTCTCATGAATTCAACTATTAAAATTACTACAATGTCCACGAATACCCATCCTGATATATATTGACATGAATTATTTTCTATATTAAACATAATAAGATTAACAACATGTGTTATAAATTAGTGTCTAATGAATAAGTATCTTTTGAATCAGTTAGTAAATTAACCTGTTGTATCTTGATATCTGGTTTGGTTCCACCGACAGAAATTACTATTTACAAACGACCTTCAAAAGGTGGCAACTGAACTATATAACTCTTCAACAAAAACTCCCAATAATGCAACTCAAAAAAAGAAGTGAGCTATGTAGGAAGAAAATTGGTATTCAATGGAAATAAAATCAAAGTGGTAGTACTTTTTATATGGCAACTAAATCTAACCATGAGACCGAAAAAAATAATAAACTAAAATTGGAAAATGTCATTCAAATGTACGATTCAGGGAACTTTCCTCTGAGTTCTCGTCACAGAAAAGAAAAGAAAATTAATATTTATTTGCAAAAACTGAATAACCTTTAATCTGTTTAGCAAAACCTGTTACTAGTCAATAGATGATTATATGCATTGATACAAAGTGGTCGAGTAGTGTATATTTATGAAACTTAATTGTTGTTATAACTCATCTACCACAAATGAATTGAAATCAGAAAATAACTACTCAGTAGAATTTGATCCTTCTAGTAAAGTTACATGCTTATACACAAAATATTGAACACAAAGATTAACATGGTTTGAAGTCATTTTGTCGTGAACGAGAACATAAGTGCATACAACACGAAATTACAGAACTATACAGTAAATCCTTCATTTACAAAATGTCAATCAACCAATCGCGCAGTTGGCTCTCATATGGTACACTTGTTATAGTGACTATTTATTTCAATACAGCACAGGTGTGGTAGAGCAAATCGAAGCAAATATTTATTCGGGTTCTTTATCAAAATCACTCTTTCTTTTCATTCTCTTGCTGCAACGCATCTCTAACTTCAATTCAGTGCAGTTGTTATTAATTTCCACTTCTCGCCTATTTATAAATCTTCTTGATAACCTTCGTTCTCATCAAGCATACATATCATTACACTGGTACATTTCCTTAACCCGACCAAAGCACTCAATTAGAGATAAGAATTAGGTGAAGACTCAGTAAAAGAGACTAACGTATCAGTTAAAGAAAGATAACAGATTGTTTCATGAAAAATGCGTAAACGGTGCTAGATACTTGATTGTCTTGGCTAGTCAGATGAATTGGTCGGGCCCGAAACGATTTTAAAGTCATCTTGGTGACTTATGGCAAAATAAAGATACTCCGAATCGCGGATTAGCTAAAGGTAATCCGCTTCACGAACATTACTTACTTACGCCTGTTACCCCTCATAGAGAAGCATAGGCCGCTCACCAGGATTCTCCATTCTACTGTGTCCTTGATAAACCTTTCCAGTTGCTATTCATCTTTTTCATATCTGCTTCCAATTCTCGACACAGTGTGTTCTTTGGCATTCCTGTTTTTCGTTTCCCTCAACGGTTCAAAGTTAGCGTTCAGTGATGCAGTTTGATGAGTACCTCAATGTGTGTCCTATCCACTTCCATCATCTTTTTCTAACTTCCTCTTCACTTGGAAGCTGGTTTATTATTTTCCACAGTAGGCTGTTGCTGATAGTATCCGCCCAATGAATGTTGAATATCTTGCGTAGACAATTGTTTATAAATACTTGTACATTTTTTATGATGGTTGTAGTAGTTCTCCAAGTTTCAGCTCCATACAGTAGAACATAATAGAACTTTAAGTAACATATGCGACAGGGAGATCAACTTAACCTAACCATACCATAGTGGAACACCGGCTCACTATGAAACAATTGCTGTGTTTCATCATGATAACACTAGTTATGTAGTAAAATCACTTACTGCTTGATAATAACGCATCATTCCCATGTCTTCACGAATAGAATATTCGTCGATTGAGTTTATTACCAAAGACGAAATTATAGGTATTTTAGTCACTAACTATTTCACAACAATACAACCACCCTTAGTTTGTTTGTGAAATACCGAGTAATAAACTAGCTAATAACAAAAAAGACTTGTGCCTATATTAGATCAGGTTATAAGATAATTGGACATTAGAAACATGATTCAGGAGAGAAACAGTGAATATTATTACACAGATGACAGACGGTAACAGTATAAGTTCTGACAGACAAGAAAACGTTTAAAAACTTTTCGGTTATTCCACTATGTATATGACTGAAGCAAGTAAAAGTAAATTATTGATAAGATAACAAGTGATCAAAGCAATATCTTGTCACACACTTTTAAAATATATAAACAAAGCAGGTTTATAGCCGTAGTCTAACAGTATTGACCATGTTTTTTCGTACAATCCACTCACAAATACAACATAAGCGCAATTTTCTTCATCCTACTGAAATCGCCGATTTGGGAAAAGTTGTACTGTGATTCCTGAGCCAATTTTTTCAAATCAATGAATCAAGTATTTAAAATCCTTTGGTATGTGGTAGTGAGAGTAAGATATGATTGGTCACTGAGTGTGAACAAACAGGCACTTAGCTTATTGATTATTAAATATTTGATTTCTTTTCCTCACATTGATTTCTACTCCGAACTCACTGAGTGTAACTGCTCCTAACTGTATCGAGTAACGTATTATCTTGTATTAATCTGGTTCTCTATTCTAAGTCGTGAATCCTGGATCTGATATAAAGTTGTGGTGTATGATACCTATGTTTGCAGATAGAAGTAGTATGTAACATCATTCGGAAGTGGAATGTCTGCGAGTAGAAGGTTGATAAGATTAAAATGAAGAGAAGTAGGAAACTGAAAGTAATCAAGATAACAGAAATGAAGGAACAATGAAGCATGTAAGAGACAATTCAGAGTTGTGCAAATGATGTATTTGATGTGCCATTTTCACTTTTGACTAAACCACTGTGTGATTGTGAAGTTAACAATAAACTGGTCTTCTACACCTGATAGTTCGTTCACTACAATATGACTAGTCTCATTATCGTCATAACGTATTGTCGTAGTAGACTCAAAAGAGACAGAAAAAAAAAATTTCAAACCGCTCGTTATATCATCGGTAAAAGTAAACCCTTATCTAAAATGAAATAACGTAACATCCTATTTATCCATGTTTCCTGTAGATTGAATTTATTTTATTTATTTTAACACATAGATATTGGTACAAGGAGTCACCAAATATATATGCGCCACACAAATCTCATTCGATATATGTGATGGCTGTGATACTACTGACCGGGTGCCCAAACCGAAACAGGTGGTTTTCTTAGGGGGCCACTCCCCGAGCCTTCGACCTGAAGGTCTGATCTACAAGGCAGTGAAGTATCGTAAGGAGATGCAGTCCCATGGAAGCCGGTCACCAACAATTGGTTCATACTCCATTTGTTCCCGCACGATACTGGAGCCCATGTGCACGATTGGTTTGGAATCCGGTTAAAGCGCCGGACATTCGCCTTTCATCCTCTCATTTTCGTAAACAATACCCCCGGCACGAGAAGGCAGTGAGTAGGACTTCCATTTAATTACTTTATATGAAATTATGTCGTGAATATTTAAAACTTTTATTGTGTTTGGAAATTTGTGTATTTTAATTTAGAAAAATAACCAAAACTCATATTGTATAATCACATAAATGATTCAAAAGAGAAGTCATTTAACTTATTATACATAAATGTATATACCCATTGAATTTATTGAATGGATGCTAAACGATAATTCACAGCTTCTTGACGAATATTCTCTGATTCAGTTATTCCTCTGCCAACAATCATTACAATAGATGATGAGGATGTCGTTGTAAAACGTTTCTTTACTTGTTCAGGTGTATTGTAATTTTGGCCTAGATCATCATTGGAATTAACAAGTTTTACACCTGTCAAAGTAACATAAGAATAATATTAGAAGAAATAATTGGCAAAAACTAAAATAAAAGGCTCTTGTATGGTATAATTTAATTTGGAGATGGTATTTTTCATTCAGTAAGCACAATTTCAGGTATTATTGTGGTGTGTGCTACTTATATTGACATAAGCAGTAGATGATGTTAGTCGTGAACTGAAGGTCTGGCAGCAGCAAAGAGACAAGAGGATCGAACAGTAAAGAATGGAAACAGGATGCAATTTATATGAAAATGCAAGAACAATCAAGTCTGAGTCATTATTTTGAGACAATTGGTGGACATTTTGCAAATTAAGCATTTACTTTATGATTGTTAGATCTTATTAACAAGTCCTGTAATTTTGTGTTAAACACATTCGATTGTCCTCACTGGTGTTCTTGTTCATTACAGTATTATAAAGCAAACAAAAAACGGGGAGAAGTTATTTTTTTCAAGTGGAAACTCGTGGTTAGTGACGTATGCTTATGTGAGGAATGAGACAATCATCATCTAGATGACACTGGATAATCTTATGATACGTCGTGAACCAAATGAAACCAAATTTCAGTTCGGTGGTTTACAAACTGATTGCTCTATATAAGAACAAAACGTTTTGAGTGTGAGATGACCGAAAGTGAGCAATCCCATATGTATATTCGACCAATATTAACGCCGATGTTGGCTGGTATATTAGTAGTTTGGGTAAAAGCTAGCGGCTCTCGTACTTCGACCACGAATCAGTCCATGACTATTGA